TTAAAATCACATGTGACTGCAGGACATCTGACGCGATTCCCAGTTTTAAGAGTGGCAACACCAGCTTCTGGTAAACTACAGGAACCAAACTGATGTCTCTGCTGCAAACACAGCAGTCCTGCCAGCACAGGGGAACACTAACAACAAACAGCGATAATATGTGTCTGCAGATTTTTACTCAGGAAGGATTTCAGAACCTTTCAAAATACGTTTCTTCTCAAAGAGGACAACAAGATTTCCAAAGTTCAGACAAGCCTCTGTTTTTATTTCCTGACTGACTTGAGCTTTTAAATGTATTCTTATATTAAATATTATGAACTTAAATGAGCAGCTGAACAAGCTGCTTTCGATGAGCAGCCTGTTTGCGTCACTCATTCCAGTCATTCACCTTTAAAGCAAGGCAGTTTCAGATTTCAGTTTTCAGGTTCAGAGCCAGCCCAAGCCTCGATGGGGCCCTAAGCAAAATTTAATTTTGGGGCCCTCTATCTCTGCCAATAAAATTGATTGGTGATCATTCACACACCTTCACAAATCGCTATGATTAACATTCCATGACATGCAAGCATACCTTTGTCTTGGCGTTTTTTCTCCTCTTCTTCTTTCATCCTCTTTCTTTTCCGTGCTCCTGAAGGGTATGTCCTTTTTTTGCAACATTGTTTTGCCCCACAACTACCTGTGCTTTGGATGCTCAGTGCAAATTGCACAGCAAAATCAATCAATCAATCAATCAATCAATCACTTTATTTATAAAGCACTTTTCATACATAAACTTGTATCACAAAGTGCTGTACACTTTGGAAATACAAAATAAAATACAAAACAAAATACAAACTGCAAAACCCCACCCACCTACCCACCCCCCAAGCCCGCATTTAACAGAGACCCCCCCCCCCCACACACACACACACACACACAATTCTAGGACTGATAGAGCTGTGTAACATCAGCATAGCTGTGAACGTTAATGCCGTGTCTCCTGATGACATCTCCTAGTGGTAACATAAATAGATTAAAAAGTGTGGGGCCTAAAATTGAGCCCTGGGGAACGCCACACTCCATTTCATAGGTTATTGATGAGCGTTCCCCAGTGCTAACTTAAAATTTTCTGCCATTCAGATATGTTTTAAACCAGTTAAAAATAGTACCAGAGATGCCAATGTAGTTTTGGAGTCTGTTTAAAAGAATTGTATGATCCACCGTGTCAAAAGCTGCACTCAGGTCCAACAGGACTAAGACAGAAATTAATCTCTCATCCATGTCGGACCTGAGGTCACTTACAATCTTGACCAGTGTCGTCTCTGTACTGTGATTTTTCCTAAAACCAGACTGAAATATGTCACGAATATTTTTAGAAATCATAAAATCATTTAACTGGTTAAAAACAATCTTTTCTAAAATTTTGCTTAAAAATGGCAGGTTGGACACAGGTATGTAATTATCAGGTAACGCTGTATCCAAATTGTTTCTCTTCAGAAGGGGTCTGACACAGGCTGTCTTAAAGGCAGTGGGAAAGACCCCTGTCTGAAGAGAATAGTTAACGTTGACATATAAGGTTTTTCCACATGCCAATTTTAAAATACCAAAAATAAGAATATCTTTTGCAACAGTTCAAACACTAAGGATGTTATGTATACAAAAATTCAATTTTTAAAATAGGCAATTTTAGTGTTTTTTCATGTAGATGAATTGCCCGTGGCCTTAAAAAATGTCATGTGGTGCGACCATCATTTATCTCAAAATTATTACATTTTGTCATTTGACCTGAAGACCTTGTATCATTAAAAATCAATTTAAAGAGACCTATGAACAATTAATTTCATGCAAATTTTATATTAAAATCAAATTTTATCAACATTTCAAACATGAACACAAACATTTCATTTCATTTTTTTGACAAAAATTTAACTCTGTGTGTACGTGGCCCAGAGACCTGTACTAAGAAGCTGGATGAACACAAACAGGATAACTCTGCCACAACTCACTCAACTTCACAAGATGTCCGTAATCCCGTTCAGCTGTACTACGAGGCAGGATATCAACTCTCTAACTAAATTCAGTTGTGGTCAGTCTAGATCTGTGCACGCACACGTAAAGGGGGTGGGGTCAGTGGCACCGGACCAATCTCCACAATGGAGAAGGCTGCACGTCATATTTCACAGCCGAGGAACAGAGCATTATTTTACGCAAATACGAGGAGTACCACAACATTATAACAGTGAGGAGCAGGACAGCCACAGCCGCTAAAAGCTGGAGGGACTGCTGGCAAAAAAAATAATCAATTGTGTAAATTGCATTTGTGTGTTCATAAATTTATGGCCCCCTAATGTGTTGTCATGCAGCGTGTGTGATCACCTCCATCATTGACCTCATTATTTCAGACACAACAACAGTGGGGAAAAGAGTACGTGGGAGCAAATAAGAATAAATCTAAAAACATCTGTCAAAGTGGTTAGCTGGTTTACTGGAAGATTTTATTTGTACATATATTTCAACGCGTAAACAGTGATTTCCTCACACTGCCTTTTTTTCTTTTTTCTCCATCATCTGATGGTCACATGTCATCTGCAGACACATTTGGGGTTAAGAGTTTTCTAATCTGCTTCAATAAATTCTGAATGATGACTGATATGCTGCATGAAATTGTAACTTGGAGCTTGGCAAATATTAGTGCATTGCTTAGACTTCATGCTATCTGAATATTGAGGCCGTCCAAGGAAAACCTGTAACGTTCATAGAGAACATCATCAGGTAAATAAAACAGATTTGAATGATCTTGAATATAACGCTCTCGGCGACACACTCCTCTCACTATCCGTGCAACGATGTCCCCGGGATCCAGCAAAAGTGGGCAAGCCATTTTCCAAGAGATCTGATTGGTCAATGGGCGGTCTTTCATACCTGCTGAGATCTTATCCTGAAACATAACCTGCTCCAGAGCAGGTTTGGTGTTCTGCATAAGTTACCGGGGCAACGGACCTGGATTAAAAGAAATCCACCTTCATCGTACCGAAAACTCAGGAGTTATTCCAGAAGTTATCTCACTAAGCTCAAATCTAGCTTTGTAGTACAGGCATCAGGCCTTTTTAAACTTTGCCCAATCTTGGCCCAATCTTTGCCCAGTCCTCGCATGAACAACATGCTGCGGGGTCAGAGTTGACACGCTGCTTGTGGCGAGCGCTTTTAACTTTGCTTGGCAGTGGCATCTGGTAAAATAAATTAAAATGACTTAAACAGATACATGAAAGTTAATAAATTGCTAACAATGGCATAAATACCTATGTGAAATGGCATGCTTTTAATATTTTTTTTCTTATTTTGTACAGAGATGAGCTAACCATTATTTCTGAAATATTAGCAAAATGACTCATCAAATAACAAATAAATATTCAAAATAATACTAAAAATTAAGTACTTAGTGTTTATCAATTAGCAACTGAATATGAAAAGCGTAAATACTGGCAATCTAGGGCATATATCTATGATGGAAAACAATCTGCAGTGGTCGCACCACATGATAACTGGTCGCACCGCATGACATTTTCAAGTTCAGTCAATTCTTACTGATACAGGATTAGCCACAAAAACAAAGCTCACTAGCTTTCCACAAAAGGTCACTATGAAATTTATAATTAAAATACACATTTGTGGAAATAACTTAAATTTATTGTTTTGTTGAGGTCATACCACATGACATCCAAATTTGGGAACTCCATTACAGCAGCTGAAAAAGTCTTTTTTTATTTTAAAGAAATGAGAGGACCACCAACCCTCTTTCTGCTTCCATAGCTCTATGACAAAATGGTGAATGATGCAACTTCCTGTCCTTGAGTAGATTTCAGCATAAAAGTGTCAAAAATTGTTATTTCTTGATGGTTGCACCACATGATATTTAATGGCCCAATTCCAAACTCCACCCTAAGCCCTCAAGCCCTGCACCCTCATTAGCTTAGGTTAAGTCAGCTGGTAAGTGCTTGAGTGGGGGAGGGTTTAAGGGCTCCAAAAGGGTATAAAAGCAATGGAACAGCCCTTTGTGACTTGCCACGTTACCTTGACGTTGTCGTCTAAATTTTAGACGACAACGTTGCCGTGACAACCAAAGATGCGACTGACACTTGCCTCTCTGGGCCTCTTAATTCTGCATTTATTTTGCGGCCAGCGACGTCGCAGAAGAAAGGCCAACATTGTTCTGCTCCTTTTGCACACACTTGCTCTTGAACATAGACAACAGGTAATTGGTAAATAATGATTAGATTGATAAATTATAAAACCAGCATTAATGATAGGTTAAGTGATATTGAATGGTTAAAAGGTTGAAGCACTAGATTCTGAAAGTAATCACTGCTTTAGAGTGTCAGTTCAGTATAAAATGTATTGATTCAGATAAAAGTTTGAAGTAAAAATCAATTTTCTTTGTTATAAGAATAACGCGTGCGTGTGTGTATGTGTGTGTGTATATATGTATGTATACAAACACACACACACACACACACACACACACACACACACACACACACACACATATATATATATATATATATATATATATATATATATATATATATATACAGTACATAATCTTATATCTATGTTAATGTAGTGCATTCTTGTTCATCTTGGCAGTCCAGCGCCCACCATACACGATGCGGAACATCCATGTTAGAGTATTAAGGGTGCACCTGGATCCTGAATGAACTGCTTCTTCTTGAGCTCCTTCGCCATGATCTCCGTCATTTTTGGTGTCTGTCGTGGATGATGAGACGCTTGTGGCCTCGTTCCCTTTTAAATCCTGGCCCCGGCTGCGTTGGCGTCCTCCGGTAATGCCCACAACGCAATGAATTGTGGGCAATTTCATAGCCAAAGTTTCCAACGGTACGGACTTACGGAAAGGGTGCAGAAAGGGGCGTTCCCGAGCCCTCGCTGACTTAACGATTTCATTTGGAACAACCCTCAAGCCCTTACAGAGCTCACATGAGCGCGCACCTAAGTCAATGAGTCAGTGAGGGGTTGGTTTGGAATTGGGCCAGTGAAATGGACACGATCAGACAAAATTTGTTTGTATTTCTTCACTTCTTCACCACCTGAACGGGGCGCTCCACACTGTGCGACCCAGCAGGATACCCAGCCGTCTTAGTTGTGGTGTTTTAGTCAGTATTTTAACTTATTTGTTGTTTTTCTTGAGTTGGATGTGTGAGTGATCCTGTCGGTGCTTCAGAGATGCAGATTTCGAGGACTATGGTTAAGGTTTTTGCACTGTTTTGGGTGTCAGTGCTACTCTTTCACTCTACCGTATGTCACGCTGTGAAGGAACACAGCATGACCGGTAGAGTCTCTGTCAGCCGGGAGCTTCTCCTTTCTCTACAAACGTCTACAGCCAGCAATGTTCCTGCAAACATTCCGGCGGAGCTTCGTAAGCCGTCTAAGGAGGGTAGGAAACAGGGAAGAAGAGGTGGAACTCGCCGTAGACTGAAGAATCTCCGGCTTGATAGCCGCCGTAAGCTTCCGCCTCTTCCCACTGTCCTGCTGTCAAATGTGCAGTCTATCCGGCACAAAATAGATGAACTGGAGGCAAGCGCCAAGTTCGAAAGGGAAACAAAAGACATATCGCTCCTTGCTTTTACGGAAACTTGGCTCAGCGAATTGATACCGGACTCGATCTGGAGCTAAGCGGGTTTGGATTAGTGGTGTGTCGGTCTTGAACGAACGGATCAAAAGAACTAGTTCTTTTTGGTGAACGAAATGAACTAGTTCTCCCCCCCTAAATGACCCGTTCAGTCCGTTCAGTTCTTTTGATTGGCTGAAGAGGGACTATCTCCGTGCTTGCCTGTCTTATCCTATCGTCGCGCCTCGTTCTGTGTGTGGGTGGGGCTTAGAGAAGCAGCAGCAGTACTACTGAGCTGACTGAAAGACCGGGATGACCGAGTTGACTGAAAGAACGGGTTAAATGAACGAAAGACCGAGTTGAACGAAAGACCGAGTTGACTGAAAGACCGAATGAACGAAAGATCCAGACAATGAACGAGTTGACTGAAAGACCGAGTGAACGAAAGATCCAGACGGTGAACAAGGTGACTGAAAGACCAAGTGAACGAAAGATCCAGACGATGAACGAGTTGACTGAAAGACCGAGTTGACTGGCCGCCGCACGAGCCGACAGCCGAGCCCTAGCGAGCGGGACAGTCACACACACAAACAAAGGCACACAGCTGCTGCTGCAGCCAGAGGCAGAGAGACAACTATTAATACGCATTTGCACTGTCTGTTGACATTTTGTACTTTTTATTATTGTTTTTAATGCACCTCAAAATAATAAAATAACCAGTAAAAACCTTATATATTTTGTTACTCCTAATATAATTTTATATTACAAGGAGTGCAGCGCGATCGCAGCATTGGACCGGGGGTGGGAAGTGGGGAGTGCAGCGGTCACGGCGTCGGACCGCGGGGGGGGGGTCGTAACTTCGGACCGGGGAGCTGAGACGCTTGCAACGTCGGATCCGGAGGGGTGTAATGCTTCAGATTTCAAGATCAGATGTTGTTGCGCTGTTGAGTCTGAAGTGCAGTCAGTCTGTTTGCTCATCACGTTCGTTCAGACGCTGAACGAACGTGAACAACATGAACGAGCGGACTGACTAATGACCGAAATGAACGAAATGAACGGGTCTTTTTACTGAACGACCCGGAATGATCCGGTTCACTGAAATGAATGGTTTTGCCCACCACTAGTTTGGATGCCCTGTTTGGCTGGACCGGTCCCCGGAGGCCACCGGGAAGAGTTGCGGAGGAGGAGAATGTTTCTACGTAAACCAAAGGTACTGTAAAACTGTCGTGGTCAGGAAGAGCCCCTTCTATCTGCCTCGCGAATTCCAACAACTGTTTTTCACTTCAGTGTCCATTCATCCACGAGCCAATGCATCAGCTGCTGCCCAGCTGATTGCTGACGTCACGCAATATCTGGAATTGATATGCCCAGATGCACCCAAATTTATCCTTGGGGATATTAATCATTGTAAACTTGACAAAATTCTGAGAACTTATGATCAATATGTCACCTGTGCTAGGAAGAACACGACTCTGGATCTGTGTTATGGCTCAGTCAGTGAAGCTTATAAGTCTCTGCCTATGCCGTCTTTTGGTGCTTCTTATCACAACAGTGTTCTTCTCATTCCCCTGTACATTCTTCGCTTTCAGCACCTCAAACATGGGGAAAAGACGGTAAAAAAGTGGTCAGAAAGCAGCATTTCCTCTCTTCAAGCATGCTTCGAGTCAGTGCTTTTATGATGCTTGTGAGGATATGAACGAACTTACAGAGACAATATCCTCTTACATTACTTTTTGTGTGGACCTGGTTATTCCAACTAGGAAGGTGACTACTTACCCAAATAATAAGCCCTGGGTCACAAAAGAACTGAAATCAGTCATCAATAATAAGAAAAGGGTCTTCTATTCTGGGGTGACAATAGAAATAAAAGCCGCCTCCAGGGAGGTAAAGGCAGAAGTAAAGAAGGCAAAACTGAAGTATAGGAATAAAATTGAAAACCAGTTTAGGGCAGCTTGGAGTGGAATTAAGTCCATGGCATCCATCAACCAATCCACTCAAACTAAGCATTCTGTCACAGTCAGTGATGTGAGTGACAATGACTTGGCAGATGTCTTTAATTTGTTTTTTTTCTCGCTGGTAAAGGTCTGATTTCCTTTGTAATATCTCCATGTTGTGAGAGTCCCTTGTTAATGATTCTGTCTTGGTGATTGCCCGGGAAACAGTCACATCTTTGTTAAGTAGAGTTGACATTAGGAAGGCTGCTGGCCCTGACTTCATCTGTGGACGCACACTGCGTCACTGTGCTGTCCAGCTCAGTGAGGTGTTCACTTATCTTTTTCAGATATGTGCCAACAGGGGTGAGATTCCATTGATTTGGAAAACAGCAACAATAATTCCTGTGCCTAAGTCAAATAAACCAAAAGACTTAAATGATTTCAGACCTGTGGCCCTGACATCCATTTGAAATACATTTGAAAACATTTTAAAAGAAGTCATCTCCTTAACTGAGGGCAAACTCGACCCTCTACAATTTGCCTATCAAGCCGGGAGAAGTGTGGAGGATGCCAAGCTTTTTATTTTAGACAGAGTTTATAGGCACCTTGAAAAACCAGGATGTCATGCTCGACTTTTATTTGCTCGACTTTTCATCAGCTTTTAATAAAATGCAGCCTCATATTTTAATCGAGAGACTCTCCTCTTCTTTTAAATTGCCGAGTCAGATTTTACTACTACTCTTGAATTTTTTAACTAATAGAGTCCAACGGGTCCTTGTAAATGGTCACATGTCCAAACCCTTATTGTCCAACACTGGTTCTCCTCAGGGCTGTGTCCTCTCTCCCCTGCTTTTTATCCTGTACACAGACAGCTGTAGGGCTAGCCAGGACAGCAGCTATCTTGTCAAATTCTCCGATGACACAGCTCTGCTGTCTCTTCTTGAGGGTTCTGGGTCAGGTCTTGGAGATGCTTTATCAGTGTTTGTTGAATGGTGTGACAACAGCCTCCTGGATCTCAATGTCCAACAGACAAAGGAACTGGTCATTGACTTCAGAAGAAAGGGCCCAGGACTTTCACATGAGGCTAGCATCATCCATGGAGAAAGTGTGCAAATCGTGGACTCCTACAAGTATCTTGGAACTGTGTTTGACTCTGACCTAAAGTTTGTGTGCAATACAGAGTCAATAGTTACTCCTACTGAACTCCTTTGGTGTTTCTGAGGGTATTTTATCTTGTTTTTATCATTATTTTATTGAAAGTCTGTTAACGTTTTCTTTCATCTGCTGGTTTATGGGACTATCTGTAAAGGACAGAAACAGCCTGAACCAGATTGTTAAAGTCTGCTCCAAGATCATAGGAGTGCAGATGACAGACCTGAGCTCTCTTTGGGAGAAGCGTGTGGTCAAGAAAGCCAGAGGAATTTTGGATCAGCCTGGACATATTCTGTTCTCTGACTTTGTTCTTATGCCTTCTAGGCGGCGCTACTATGTACCCCCAAGAAAACGAACAGATACTCAAAATCTTTTTTCCCCTCAGCCATCAGGCTTTTAAATGCCTGGAAGTAGGCTGATGGTCATATGTGGCCTGTGCTGAACTGGAGCTTCAGGAGTGTTTTATTTGTTTTATTTCTTATCTTGTGTCCCATACTTGTGGATCTTATTGTATTTTAACCACTGCGCTGTGGAACTTTAATTTTTTTTTGTACTTATTTAGTTATTTATTGCTGATCCTGCTGATCTGTGAGTCCTGACAAGGAAATGGGGTTGTCGCTGCTATGAACGTCTTGCACTTGTCTGGTTTGTTTGTCTGCTGATTTGTGTGTTTGTATGGATCAAACGGCAGGGTAACTGCGAACAGAATTGCCCTTAGGGAATAAATTAAGTTGTCTGAATTTGAATCTGAATCTGTATATTATGAAAAAAATATAACTGCAAAAGCTTTGCAATTTTGTACAGGAATAAAAAACACTTTGAAAATCATGCGAAATATTGCAGAAACTAAATTGTAATAGATTTAGAGTAATTTAAAAGAAGGTTTCAAAACAGCAGTCATGGCTGGATGGTCGCACCACATGATATTTTGACACGTTGAAGTTCAGAAAAATTACCAAAAACTCCTGATTTTTGAAAAGTTGAAGCGACTCCATATATTGGAGAGCTACTACACATGGATAGTATATTTTTACATTTAAACCTTTTTGTAACTTAAACAAAATACAGCTGGACAGAATATTTAGGCATCATGTCATTGACCCAAAAACACTAAAAGAGGTCTTAAAAAGGGATGTGGGGATAGGATCTAAAACACAAGTCACTGGTCTAAGATGGGAGACAACTTCCTCAATCTCTGCAGCATCAACTAGGACAAACCTGTCCAGTGTTTCCCCATTTAAAAACACAGACTCAGAAGAGCTAAAATCATCAGGCTTACTGTTTAAAAAGTTTGACCTGATAACGTCAATTTTAATTCTGAAGTGGACTGCAAGGTCTTCACAGGATAAATCTGAATTAAAAGGTTGCTTAAAAACAGGACTTGTTAATTGTTCAGTGGTTAAGAAAAGGATTTTGGGGTTTTTGAAATTGTCAGTTATTAATTTTGAAAAGTGGTCCTGTCTTGCTTGTTTTACTGCTCTGTCGTAAGTGGGGATTTGTTCCTGAAAAATCCATATCCATCTCCTCTCTGCAATTCTGCATCTTTTCTTTAATTTGAGAACCTCGTTTGTTCTCCATGGTGGTTTTATGTTTGGTTTGTTCTTTTTCACCTTTAATGGTGCAACAACATCTATTGCTGACTTAAGTTTCTGGTTTAAATGATCAACAATAAAATCACAAGCAGAGGGTAAAACAGCCTTTGGAGCATCAGTTAAAATCTCACTAAAATTAGCAGCCACTTCAGAAGTAAGATAGCGTTTCCTGACAGTACGCTCTGGGGCCTCCTGCTGGATAAGATCCATTACGTTAAAAAACACAGTGATGGTCGGACAAGCCCACATCCACAACAGAGGACACAGTGGCCAATAACCCAAAGGTTATTAAAAGATCCAATATATTTCCTCTGTTGTAGGTGGAGCTTGATACATGCTGCTTAAAATCCATAAAATTAATAAGATTTAAAAATTCAGAGCTAAAAGAGTCAAATGGATTACCAACGTGAATTTTAATATTCCCTACAATAATGATTTTGTTGTACTTTGAATAAATGATTGATAATAGTTCTGCAAATTCACTGATAAAAGCAGAGCATTTTTTTTGGGTGGCCTGTAAACAGTTAAAAAAATATAGGGGGACTGTTAAAAACAAAGGAATGGTACTCAAATGAAATAAAATCACCAAATGAAACCTCTTTAAAACCATGTGAACCTACAAAAATTGTTGCAGTCCCCCCAATAACGTCTACCCTCTCTAAAAGAATGTAAATAATTAAAACCAGGTGGGGATGTTTCATTAAGTGCTGCGGGTTCATCAGAGCCAAGCCATGTCTCAGGTAAAAACATTAAGTCAATACCATTATCTAAAATCAGGTCATTGAGGGTGCTGTGGTTGAAGTGGGTGATGTGGGCGCCTGAGGGGCAGAGTCTACAGAAAGGTTGTCTGACATGGTACTCAAAGTGTTTTCCTGTATTGGGAGTGACAGTGGGGGACGGGTCCTGGCTCCTCATAATCAGGTATTGGTGAGTATGGGGAATCAATGTTGGTGGTGCTAAGACCCGAGGGACATCAATAGTAGAGGGACTGATTGGAGGGGGTTGACTGTGGTGACGTTGATTGTTTATTGTAGTGAGATAGATGGGGGTGGTAGACATTGTGGAAAATGTTTCCTGCAATCATCCCCTGTTGCTGGGGATGGGCCGAGTACAAAGATTGAGGAGCAGGCTGTATTTCAGCTGACCTCCTTGGGGTTGATGTGTGTCCATGAACGAATTGTTGTGTGCTTTGTTGCTGCCAGGTACTGGAATGGGGTTGTGTATTGCTTGCCTCTTCCTCTAGACTTTCTATCAGGCGTTAAAGTTCACCCCGGAAACGGTTTTGAAGGGCAGGTGGTAGTGTATTTATTCTTGGGATGAAACTGTGTAAGTAATATCCCATTGGCTCTTCATGGGTGGGGACATGGAGAGGAGGACTGACTTTATCAGCTGTGAGTATCTGGAAGAGCTGCTACTCCACTCCCACAGCAGCTGAGGAATATTCCCGGCCCTGACGTTTCTTCTTTCTTTGCTGTGTGTCGGAGGAAAGTTCTTGCACTCTAGGGTGTGGTGGTGGGGTGTCTGACCGGATCACTTGTGATGTGGTCATAGCTGACCTCTGACCAGAGCCACTTTGAAATGGCGAGGAGGGTCTTGTCAAGGGGGTTGGAGTGCAAGGCCTTGACCCTTGTAGTGATGATTGTGGTGAGGATCCTCCCATTCCCTTGTCTCCAGCCTCAATGTTTTCTTCTCTCAGACCCTCTGGCTGGAGAGTACTTTTTGTGCTAAGAAAAATAAAAACAAGATATGTATTTTTCAATCAATGGCTTTCATATAAAAAAAATGTATACAACTGAATGTATATGGAATAAAAATACCAACCTTCTGGGCTGCAAGTAGGGATCTATAATGGAGAATAGATATGCCAGTCTCCATTCTTTCTGGCTGCCACCAGCAGACCCACTTGCAGTCTTTTTCCCTTTATGTTTCACATAAGCATCTCTCAACTGCTTCCACCTCCTCTTGCAATCATCAGCTGTAGCAACGAAAAAAAAATATTAATAAAGCATTGCATTGTATACCCTTGGTATTATTTATGTATATCTATAACATTTTTGTCATATTTCCACAGATTCCTGGCCTCTGGAGAAAGTTTTGCCAGCCTGGCTTACCAGTTCTGTATGTGGAGGAGCACAGTGATGATGTCTGTGCACATGATGTGCCAGGCAATCGAAAAAAATATGATGGCTGTGCAATTCCCTCCGCCAACAGAGCAATGGTGGAGGGAGACAGCTGATAGATTTTGGAGGAAATGGAACTTCCCAAACTGCATCGGAGCTATTGACGGCAAGCATGTCACCATCAAGGCCCCATCAAATTCTGGGAGTTTGTATTTCAATTATAAAAAATGTTTCTCTGTCGTACTGCTTGCTCTGGTGGACACCGAATATCAATTTGTCAACGTCCAGGTGGGGGACTTTGGCAGGTCATGTGATGGAGGCACCTACAGCAACTCTGACTTGGGGAAAGGTATGGAGGCCAAAACTCTGGGTGTGCCTGCTGACTGTCTTCTGCCCTGCTGACTGTCTTCTGCCAGGGTCTGGACAACAAGGTCCACTGCCCTTCACCATGGTTGGTGATGCCGCTTTCCCCCTTAAACTCTACCTCATGAGGCCATTTCCGGGTCAGCGGCTTCCAAGATGGAGGAGGATTTTCAATTACAGACTGTCCTGGGCCAGAATGGTAGTAGAGTCCACATTTGGAATTCTTGCAGCAAGGTGGCGGGTGTTCTACACCAGGATCAATTTGCAGCCAGAAAACGTTGATCGTATTGTGCTGGCTGCCTGCATCCTTCACAATTTTCTCAGCAACCCCACAGACAACCACAGGTGGCTGAGGGAGGTGGAGGAAAGAAGGGAATGCTTTGTTGATCCTCCAAACATGGGTGGAAATCGCAGCAGAAGAGAGGCATATGAAGTTCGTGAGAAATTCAGTGCCTTCTTTAACTCTCCAGAGGGAAGTGTTCCCTAGCAGGACCGCATAGTCTAAAATGCATACTGTTGACACTTTTTGTACATATTTGTTTGATTTTAAAGTGTTATCTGTACTCATAAATGTAATATCTTTTGTTTAGTTATTTGTTGCATAATGTTCTGTAAATAAACAGTACTCTGAATTCTTTTTCATCCTTGTTCATATTGAGTTTCAATGAAAAATATATTTTTTAAACTGAATTAAATGCACTAGAAATTTGCCGCAATAAAAACGTTATTACGTTAAAAAAAAAGTTTAAAACTGCAGTATTGAGTAATGGCTAAATAAAGACAGCTGAACTGATCTTTGATAAAAAAAATAAATCCAGGCCCTCAGAGTTTAATGACAATGTGGGGGAAGGGAAACACACTGTCCCAGCTCTGTGTTGGCCCTTTCAAGGTAGTACATTTCGACACAGAGTTGATACATTTATGGAATGTATGCTGCAGGAGCCAGACATTCACTGGGAATTGTAAACACTGGTGATATAAATAACATAATACTTACGTGATGCTCCGAGGTCTGCCCCAACAGCCTCCCAAATTATTTATCTTTTGGTAATGTCTTTATAATATCTGTTCTGTGGGTCGTAATGTTCCTTGTACTGGGATCCTTAATAAACTAAACTAAACTACTTCTCCACCTCATAAACCAGCTTCTCATCGTCCATCTTTTTCAAGGTAGTTGCTGAGATGTTGTGAGCAACTGGTAGGTGTCTCTATCTTAATGTACTGGGGTCCGTTTCACGTAGGTGGTTCAACAAACTCTGAGTCAAATCCTTAACTCTGAGTTGATCTACTCTGAGATAGGAAACTCTGAGTTTCCGGTTTCACAACACCTGATTTGAGACAGTTTTAGCAACTCCGAGTAGTTTGACCTGGAGTTAAGCACGTGCACGCCAGACATAAACAGCCAGCATCTGTGGAGCCCAGATTCATTGATCAACCAATGGAAACAGGGAGAAGGAGGGGGCAGCAGCAAGCCAACGGCGAATTACAGCACGTTTTTAAAAGAAAGTGCAATACAGCAGCAGCTGCAAGTGAGAGGGAGAGGGCATGGGAGGAAATTGCTGCTCGCGTCAATGCGTAACTTTAAATCTAGTCTTGTGCAATCACAATGACAGACTGTTGCAGGGGAAACTGCGTGCATGGAGCAAATTATTTTATGTAGGTGCAATCCAGTGGGTCAAAAATGCACTTGGCAGCAGCTGAAAATTAAATATAAAAACATTGTGCAAACAGGTGAGACATCTGCATTTTCTCATTTTGATCATGTTTTACATTGTCAAGTAAGTATTAAGTGGCAGTTTGATCCCTTACAAAATGCTCTTTTCACACTCAAAAATGAATTTTACTCTCTTATCTATTATTATGTTCCGTTAAATGATTAGGAACATTAAACTAACACAGACTTTCACTCAGCAAACAGAAAGAGGGCAGATGCCAGAAAAACGGGTTTAACGGAGGCAGAGTAGCTGCAGGAGGGACTCTTAGCCATTTAAAAAAAAACAAAAAAAAAAACAGAGTTCTGTCTCATCAATCTTATGTAGGATCCTGAGAAATGTTTCCAGATGTGAAGAAGTTTTAGTCTCTTTTTTCTTTTTCAGATCCCAGACTGTACAAATTTTCTGAAACATCTTGCAAAAGTTTTGCTTGAATACGAGAAAATCTTTGCCAGATCCATACACTTTGCAAGACCATGAAAACATCTGACAAATAACTTTTACAGTTTACACGATATACTGCAAACTTATAATTTATGGCACAACCCAAAAGACTTTTACAAGATCCTTGGATTTTACTCTGACCATTCCTGAAAACCCCAAAAGAAATTTAAAATTCTAAGACAATTTTTTCAAAACTAGAAAACTTTTATAACACTCTGACACTTTGTTTTGTTTCAAGGTCTGGAGAAACATTTGTGATTCTGAAAACCTTTTATAGGACTCAAAATTTTTTGTAAGATCCTGATTTACTTTTGCAGTATCTTCAGAAACTGCGGGGGAATTTTTTGAGAGACCTAGAGAAACTTAACTTTTATAAGATCTCTACAAGATGTGAGAACATTTGTAAAACTTTTCCTTTAATGATTCTCTTACATAAGGTGCAAAGACTGTCTAAAATGTGAAGTTACAGAGTTGATGTCATAGATATTCTGTTCATCCTTTCTCACAATGCAGATAGTCCTGGAACTCACCCTCTCTGGAATTATTACTTATAGTCTGGTAGTCATCCACTCTGGACTGAGCTCAGTCTCCTGACAAAATTTAATCTCAGGTATTTCTCTTAAATGTAACCCAAACTGATGAGATATATGATGAATTATGTTTACTTCAATGTGTTAACATTTATTAATTGTTCTGAGTATCCAGTACCTACAGACCTATTGTAGTCAAAAACTGGTGAGTTATTGAAAGATAAAGAAATCAAACTAAATTGTTGAAGATGAAAAATCCTGCTTACCTCCTCTCTTAGACTACAGAAGCCAACAGAGCCACTGCCTTACCACCACTGGGCAAGTCAGATCATAACTTGGTCTATCTGCAAACCTGTTACGGACCTTGTGTGCTGAGGCAGCCTGTGACCGAAGTCAAAATAAGAAGATGGACACCTCAAGCCAGTGAAGCTCTTAGGGAATGTGTTTAAATCAACAGACTGGAATGTGCTGCTGGAAACAGATGTGGATAGTATGAACATTGACAAACAGGTTGACTGCTTTACTGAATATATCAATTTCTGTAGAGACACAGTTATACGGACAAAGACTATTCACTGTTTCCCCAACAACAAACCCTGGATGACAAGTGACATAAAAGCAATCCTTAACCAGAAAAAGAAAGCTTTTAAAGATGGTGACAAAGAATGACTCAAACAAGTGCAACAAGAGTTGAAGAGGAGACTGAAGATGGCAAAGCTTGAGTACAAAAAGAAGATAGAGAAGAATCTACAACACAGCAACATCTGTGAAGTGTGGAGAGGACTCAGTACCATCTCTGGACACAGCAATAAAAAGAAAAGACAGCCAGTGGTGGGTGAACTCAACCTGTTCTTCAACAGATTTGACACTGCTGTCACACCCACTTCCACTGCTACTCCACCTTCCTCTCCGCAAAATTCTCCACTGCAACTTCTCCCCTTCCTCCTCCATCTCATTCAAATGTCTCAACCACTTCAACTGCCTCCCTCCTAGAACACCAGTCCTTGTCTGTTCAAAACAGGGGTGAGGATGGAGCTTGGAAGACTTTGTCGTGAGAAGGCAGCTGGTCCAGATGGTGTGTGTCAAAGGCTGCTTGAAGACTGTGCTGCAGAACTGTGTCGACTTCTCCACAGGATCTTCAACCTGAGTCTACAGCTGGGGCGGTTGCCTACTCTGTGGAAAACATCCTGCATTGTGCCAGTACCAGAAACAAAATGTGCTGCTGAACTCAGTGACTACATACCAATGGCCCTCACTTCACACATCATGAAAACCCTGGAGTGGCTGATTCTATGCCTTCTGGGGTCTGAGGTCAAAGACAAACTGGATTCCCTGCAGTTTGCATATAAGGAACACATTGGAGTGGATGATGCTCTCTTCTACATGATTCACCGTGCCCTGTCTCATCTGGAGGAACCTGGGGTTTTTGTGAGGATCATGTTCTTCAACTTTTCAAGTGCATTCAACACCATCCAACCCACCATACTCAAGGACAAGCTCACAGAGATGGGAGTGGATCCTTCCTGTGTTTCCTGGATCGAATATTACCTGACAGGAAGGCCACAATTTGTCAGGCTGGGGAACTGTGTTTCTGGGACATTAATGAGCAGTACAGGGGCTCCACAAGGGACAGTGCTGGCGCCATTCCTGTTCACACTGTACACGTCAGACTTCAAATACAGCACTGAGTCCTGCCACATCCAGAAATACTCAGATGACACCGCTATTGTGGCATGTATCAGAAATGGACAAGAAGCTGAATACAGAGATCTGATAAGAGCCTTCAGTGTCTGGAGTCACAAAAACTGCCTCCTCCTCAACACCTCAAAGACAAAGGAGATGGTCATAGACTTCCGTAGATCCAAACCCCCTCTTCAGCCAGTGAACACCTGTGGAGTGGACATTGAAGTCATATAAATACCTAGGTGTACATCTGGAAAATAAGTTGGACTGGTCTATGAATATAGACTTCATCTACGGCAAGGGGCAGAGCCGCCTCTATTGCCCGAGAAGACTCCGATCAATAGACATCTGTAGTAAGATGCTGCAGATGTTTTATCAGTCTGTAGTGGCAAGGATGAGGTGGAGAGATCTACACTGGGGAAGGTGGAGACTATTCTCAAGAACATGGATCACCCATTTTACAACACCTTGATGGACCAAAGGGCCAATGGTGGTGGACAGCTCCTCTGTCTTTGCTGCAGGATAGAGAGATTTAGAAGATCTTTTGCACCAACAGCCATCAGACTTTATAACTCTTGTGTAAAAAGTAGATAACTTTTAGAGACATGTCAAATGAGACAACAGACAATTGAATTTCCCTTTCGGGATTAATATAGTTCTTCTATCAGACTCTGCTGGGTCATTTCAACCATGTGGTCTTTGCACACCTGCTCTGAAAGCAGCTTCAATCCCACATAATGATAAATAGCACATGGTTTGCATATGAATGTGGGAGCCCATTTTTTACAGCTGTCATCATGCAGAAATCTGTAGATGAATTCTGACCAGTATTTGGTTTGGAAATGTCCTCTGAGCTCAGTGTGCACTTACAACCACCACCACCGCCTGTCCTCTCCTGCTCTCTATACTCAGCTCAGACCCCTGGGGACTGAAACACCAAGGACTCCTACACTGAAACTCCAAACCCGCTGAGTCGAGAGTCTACATTTTTTAAGTTCTAGAACAAAGGATGAATGATTTTGGAGAACAAGCCATTTGAAGCTCATCAAACCTCTTCAAATGTGATGTTGAGAAGTGTCTATAAATAAATGATAAGAAACAACTAGAAACAGTTTACTCTGTCCAAGAAATCAGCCACTCCACAGTTTGCACAGGATTTTTAATAGTCAAGTAAAAATAAGCATGACATTGTTAAACAGAGAGGAGACACAACACTTTTCAACATCTATGTGAGAACCTGGACCCTTAAGAGAGAAATGAGGAGACTGTACAAAAGAGGAGGGGAAAGGAGAAGTCGGTCCAAGACAGTCCGTCCATTCACTTTGTTTCAGAGCAACACTCAGCTCAAGACGGGTTTGGTGGAGTCATTTGTGATCTTCCTGGTCTGCAAGAATTTCTGAAAGAGAAAAAACAGAATAAAGACTTGATAAGTCCAGGATACAGTCGAACATCTTTTCTGACTAAATACATTAGAATTATAATAATAATACAGATATCAATCTTTTCTAGAATCACCCCTATGACCGTCACAGGAAATCTAAATCTGCAATTACAATCTCTTCTTTCAGATGAATGCTTATCCATAAGTAGCCATAATAAAATATATATACATATATATGTATAATACTGTATATTAGAGGTTCAGTCATTACAGTGGGTCTTTCCTTATACTAGCTAAAAACCTTACAAAAACTTTTTTCTTCCTGGAAGTAATAGTGTAGATGAGATATTCAGCTATGGACTGAAGAGTCCCTCCTACATCTGTTGAATACGGATGTCAGCGATAGACGCTCTGCAGGACAATGCACGGAAATGGAAGGCTTTAAGTAGCTTGAGAAAGATTCAGGTTACGTTTTCAAACAATCAGACATTTCCAGAAGATAAATTCCTGGGGCTTCATTTATCAACTGTGCGTATGCACAGATGTGTGCGTAATGGGTACGTATGAACATTCCCACGCAAAGTCTGGAATTTATCAATCTGCACTTGTGCTTAGGAACGTGCGTAAATTTAAGCACAACTCTGACCATGCGTACACACAAAACCTAGTAGTAGGACAGTAAAACTACAAATAGAACCCATTAAAGGAGTCAGTGTTCAGCAATCTCAAACTTCACACATGTTCTCTGTTGCCTCTATACAAAATTTATCAGTAAGTAATTTAGCAGACATTTTGAATGATTGGTCAGACAAGCTATAAAAATCTGCTGTGACGGGACAACCTCAAAAGAAGTCTTACAAGTACTGATATCACGTATCACGGCTTATTTTGCACTATTGGATGACTAGGAGAAGCGTCTGCTCCTCTGCAGGGCGTGCGTTTTCAAAGAGCGTGCTGATCTGTTCAGTGAGAACAGCAGCATTCTCAGCAGGCACCGCTTTCCCCAAAACATTTTAACGGATTTACCCTGTGATTTACTACCCGTGTCGGAGCGAGAAACAGAACACCAAAGCCATCCCAGTGCACATCCAGCTCCTGTCCACCCTAATCGGAACATTTCAGTGTGAGATTGGAGACATATGCGATATTTCGCTGCCAACGCTAAGCAGAATCATGCCGGCAGAGTTGGATATAATAATTTCTCTGGCCTCAATTTACATTCAGTTCCCAAACACACATCACCAACAAGCCGAAATAAAACGAGGATTTCATGCCATCGCCAGATTCCCAAACATAATTGGAGCAATAGACTGCACCCACATCGCAATAAAGGCACCTTCACACAATAAATTCAGATTTGTCAACAGGAAAAGATTTCATTCAATCGATGCACAAATAATCTGCGATGCACATTTGATTCTGTTGTTGTCTGGAGGAACGCACGACTCATTCATTCTGCAGAGCAGCTCTGTGAGTGTGCACCTCCAGGAGGAGGACAAAAATTCATTCACGCATTTTTTAAAGGGATTGTTGATGCCGTATATGATCAATTGGAGGCGTTTCTGAATGCAAATGACCCTAACCATGTACGACCACAGTAGTAAAGAACAGGTGGGATTTATCATCACCGATTACTTACTAGTGTGCGTACGACTGGTGTCCGCATGTTTGATAAATACAGATTTTTTTGTACTTATGCACATTCTAAATTTCATTCCTACGCCAGAATTTACAACCTTTTTCTACACACGTTTGATAAATGAGGCCCCTGCTCTCCAAAGCTGATTATATCCATAGAAATGATTGGGTTTCAGTGATACTGTTGTACAGTGGGATGTGTTGCATAGCTAAATAGCAGAAGGACTTTGGATGAAAAAGATAAGTGTTCTGTGATAAAATCTGAAGTTCTTCACTAAAAGTCTCTTCCATCTCCACTCCATCACTTTAGTCAACACTTCAGTTTTCACTGCACTCCTTTGGGTCTCGGCTCCACAATCCAGCGCCCTCTACAGCATGACATGTCACATTGCACAGGGAGAGACCTGAATAAGAAGTCCAATTCCAACATTAAACATTTTAATATCAGTACCCACTCTGAGTTGATACCAGATCATATTTCACTTCGAAAGAGGTTGATAAGAAGTCAAAGGGCTTTAGAGCAGAAACCCATTAAGAACAATAAGACGAAGAATAATAAGAACTTTATTTTAACCTGAAGGGAAATTCAATTGTCTGTCGTATCATTTGTCATGTTTCAAGAGTCATCTACGATTTACAGAAGCATTATTAAGTCTAATGGCTGTGGGTACAGAAGATCTTCTGAATCTTTCTGTCCTGCAGCGAAGAGAGACCAACGCAGCGTGTCAGGGACGGGGCACTCAGTTATTTCATACGTCCCCTTCTACACAGACATGTACAGACAACTGTATTGACCATACATGTTAAATGGTTCATGTGGAAACACACTCTGAGAGGTGAAGTTCCACACCATTATATAAAACAGTGCATCTCATCAGTGCTCGCTGCTGCTCTGCCCCTCCCTTTACTTCTATGTTCACATAGGCTTTGTATGTTTATTCATGAATCAAACCTTGTTTAATCATGTTGGTCGTGCGCCCTCCTTTGGCAGAAATAGTTTTTTTGCAGATGTTGCACTGTGCTACTCCCTCCTCCTCTTTCAACTTCAAATGAAGCCAGACTTTTGTGCGTTCTTGCAAGCGGATGCACAGAGAACGCCGAGTGGAGTAATACATGTCTGCCTTTTTGTCAGCCTTTGTGTCTGTCTGTGTGTCTGTATGTCTGCTCACCTGCAGGTTATCGTAGTGTTTGAGGGTCTTGCAGTGGCTGATCTCTGCCTCTTTGTTTCCACTGAAGAACCTGTTACATGCCTTACAGAAGAAGCCCGTCTTTGGGACCAGGAACTCCAAACCTGTGGACACAGTCACCAGAAACAAAATCACCTGCTGACCAGCATAAAATAAAGACAGACTGACTGGAAAGGGTCTTACCGACTGGAACACTGGGGTCAAAAGGAGGGAGGGAGTCATCTGTGCTAGTTGGACTTTCTGTCTTCAGTTTCTTCCTCACACTCGCCTTTTCAATGTCCAGTTGGTCTTCAGACCTCTTGTGTTTTCCTGGTCAAGTCATAGAGAGCTTTAAGGACTGATGTTCATGATTATCAAACTAAACACACTTCCCAAATGAGTCCTGAAGAAGGACTTTGAATGTTTTGATGAGGTTATTTCATTGCTGGTGTTTTCTTACGGATGGCTGCCCTTCACAGGGCGAATCAAGTTCACCTTGAACCTGGACATGAGAATCAGATGACTGTACCTGTCTCTGCAGCAGGAGCTTTGGTCTCTTCAATCTGCATTTGTCCACTCTCCTCTGTTTGTTTTGACACTGCCAGGTTCTCCCTCTTCTCCTCTTCAACCTGATTGTAGCTGAGAATGTCATTCTCCTTCTGCTCTTCCTCATTCTCTGCTGTCACGACCTCCGTCCCTGGGCTGTTTGAGGGGAGGTCAGTGGGCGTGGGAAGGGGGTCAAGGTCCAGAGTGGAGGTTGGTTTGGTTTCTTAAGATTTCAAGACACCAAAAGAAATGGTTGAAATCCAAAAGACAAGCATTGTGAAATGTTCTTCTTTTGATAACAGAACTTGAATCACTGCCAGCTCGTACCTGTCTCTGGTGCTTCAAGTTGACATGTTGGCTCTGAAGGTTGACTGTGGGAGGTGTGCGGCTGTTGATCAGGTGTGGAGGGTGTTGGCTCATTCACAGGTTCACCCTCTGGTTTAAGCTCATCAGACTTCACTGTAGTTGCTGTGGTGACGGGTATTTCTTTTTCTGTGGGGGCCTCAGCAGATGTTTCCTGGGATTGGAAACAGAGCAATTACCATGCTATCATTACAGAGTGGGAATAAAAACTCAAGAATTAAGGACAGGAGGAATTTTGTGCTCCCTGCAGCCTTTAAGTCAGGGTTTGTTAGAAAAGACACTGTGCTGCAGAGCAGGTAGCATCCAAGTACTCTGAGGCTGTTTTGACATCATCTAACTGAGCGAGTACACATTAAGCCTCACTGTATGAACTTCCTCCAGGCCAAGGACCACACACAGCTGGATTTGACTCCAGAGGATTGTTGATGTCTAAAGCAGAGCATTTCTGGGTGTCAGACTTATTAGTGATTATGACAAAAATCCTTTAAGACCCACTCCGATGAAAATCATTTTTTTCTTGTTGTCTACATGCTCATATGGCATTTTTATGATGCTACAGGACATATCGTGAGAAAACTAAGTGCAAAATTGCATTTCTGAGTATTTCTGCATTCAAATTGCTTTGAATCTCTGGCAGACCCAAACGACAGGTTAACACACAGTGAGGTTTTCTATGTCACATAAGAAAGCTAATTATGATGTTAACATTCATCATGTCCCATAAGACAATGTCTGAGAGCTGAATTGCTCCTATGTTACCTGCTTCTTGTACTACATCGGCAATGTTAGGCTGCAAGCTAACATGAAGAGGAGTGTGCGGAACAGCGCAGCGCTGTGACTAAGAGGTGAATTGCTAATGGGCTACTGCCTGCTCTCTTTAATCATGTATAGTCTGTATTCTCACGTCGATTCTCTCTGCAATGATATATATCACATTTAAAGTTCTTTATTCACTTCCACACCAAGGGGGGGGGGGGGCGACGACACTTTGTGGCTTTATCTCTCGCATGATTATAAACATGTTTGGAAAGTAACCACCAAAACAAAGCTGAGTCTTACCTCTGAATCATCCTTTTGAATGAATACAGGAGCATCCTCCTCTCCCCCCGTCATCTCAGAAGGAGAGCTAGGAAGGTCTGCCACATCCCCGACTTCATCCACCGTCACAAAGTCGCTCAAGTTGAAGGGGAAGTCATCCTCCTCTTCCTCCACCTTAATGCAGAAAAAGAAAAGGATAATTAAGGCTAAAACAGGCGAGGCTTTATTCAACTGTTACTCCTTTTGACTCGATTTCTCACTGGTTTGGTTGCAGGTCCTGATCTTTTTTCCCTCTCGGAGCTCCGCTTCTGTCCCTCCGACCTGTTTGATGACCTCCATCCTGTAGAGTCTTCACCATGTATCCTCCTCCTCTCCCTCCTCTCTCTTTCTCTCCTTTCTTCCTCCCTCCTCTCTCTCTCTCTCTTGGCTCTTTCGACTCTCTCCCTCTCCTTTCTTGCCCTCTCCTTGCTCTCCAAAGCCCTCCTATCCTTCTCCTTTCTCTCCTTCTCTTTCCTCTCCTTTTCCTTCCTTGACTCCCTCTCTTTCAGCTCCCTCTCTTGCTTCTTCTCCTCCCCTGCATGGTTCTTGAGCAGCTCTTTGGGTTCTGCTGCTGATTTTTGGCTTTGCTCTTTCTCTGGTTGTGTCTCCCCCTGTTCTCCATTAGTTGCAGCTGCTGCATTGTTTTTGGAGTTGCTGTTTGTGTTCAGGTCACTCTCCTCTAGTGGCATGTTCACCATCTCCTGATTTGCCTGGAAAAACAGAGATCAAATATGAATGGAAGCAAACATGAGTCAATGCTCTGAAGAATATCTTGTGCAAGTTGTAAGAATATCTTTATGGCCTTTTTTTTAAATGTACCTCAAAAGGACAAAAACACAAAAATCAACCCTACTCCAGTCAAGACTGTCATTGATGTAAACTCATGTTTGTGCTCTCACTGCACAAAAACAAACACTTCTTAAACTGGCAATACAGCCGCTATTTTGACTAAAGATAGTTTAAAAAAAAGTATGTTTTGTAAGTCAATAAACACTGTCTTTATTTTATATTTTAATAAAAATGAAAATGGTTGTAATTTATATGTTGAGGCTGCTGAATGTACCTTAAAAAGTAACTTGTTATCTAAAAAGGAACCTGTCATCCAACTTAGTTACTTTTAAAATCAAGTAATCAGTAAAGTAACTAAGTTACTTTTTAAAGGAGTAATCCATAATCAGTGATCAAATTACTTTTTTAAAGTAACTGTGACAACACTGCAGATAACCTTTACCTTTGGTGCCTTATCTTTATTTCTGAAGATATATTATTCATAAATTTCGTTTGGTTATTTTAAAATACTGTGAATCTTACAAGGATATTCCGGTGTAAAATTAAGTTAGGGCCAAACACAAACCAAACACATTCATGATCATTACTTTCTCATTTCCTTGAAGTAATAATCATCATATTAATCATTTTACACTGCCTTAGTGTCTCGGTCTGATTGCATTTCCATGAAGAAATGATCATGAATGTTCTTCCTTGAGCTGCGTCACCCTACTGCTGTTGGTGATAGACTCATCCAAGCTCTCATTACAAACAAGCGGCTGCTGGAGGAGAGTGGGTGAGTTGTGTTTAGTCTCTTTGCTAAAGAAACCAGGCAAAGCTAAAAAGATGTTTGGTGGCTAGTACTATGGCTGGGACCCTATATTAACTGTTGATGAAGTTAGTTGCTGTTCTGAGCATTATTTGTGGCTATAGAGTGGCTTTTTGGTTGAGGTTTGCACGTGACCACGTAGATCACTGTGTACTGCTATTGTGCAGTCGTTACTGGTATAACTTGGTATAATTAGAGAAGCAAGCAGTCTGCAACATTCATCTCTCAATGGGGTGTCTAACTCAGTGTTGCGGTGTGTTTGAGCCTAACTTAATTTTAATAAACTTAATAAACATTCTAAAAGGCACTATGCACTAATTCTTGATTTTGACTTGATTTGGAGTGTTTACACTCACTAAATTAACTTTCAACACTTCAACTGTAGTGAAACAACTTCATTTTAGAGTTACGACGTTGAACTTCGGGGGCATTTCCTGTGACCAACAATTAACATCTGGCTAGTGAGCCAGCACCAGTGCAGAGTCACCACTGAGGGGCTCTGTACTGGTGCTGGCTCGGCGCTTGTGAGCTTTTAAATTTCCTTAAGGCAACCTTCCAAAAAGGGTAAATTTAAATTTTTATCTACAGACAGCACTCAACCACCTTGGCTTGAATTGGATGCAGTTTGGCAAACTGTTTTGGAAAGGAAACAGACATGATATGTTTTATCGCAGTTTTAAAAAAATAATAATTAAAAAAGGGAAAAATTATATTTTTTAATTTATCATCCCAGAATAGTCAATACTTATTTGAATAGACCTTTTCCCCATCCATGGGCTTTTCATTTAGCCACCAATCAAAACAGCTTTTGCTATACTGTAGGCACGGCATGAGGCAGAGGATGAAGGCTCCCTACAAGAGCCAAGCAGACTGCTGCCGTCTGTGCATTTTGAAATGCACTAAGAACTTTGAATTAGAAAAGAAAATCTTTTTAGACCTGTGGTATAAAAACAGGTTTTAAGTTTTAGATGCTTCTTAGTTTTAGAACATTTTACCTTCGGAGGCTCTACCACCAATGTCTCCTGGGTGGCTTCTCTACCATCAGAAACAGATGTCTTTGTCGCTTCACCAGAGGCTGATTCGTCACTTCCATCTGTAGATGCATTGACGTCTGTTTTCTCATCTGCTGTTTCTGTTTTGTTGGTTTCTGCAGCTTCTTCAGGCTTTGTGTCTGGCGCAGCCACAGATTCAGAGACTTCATCAGTGAGCTCTTTTTTGACCTCTTGATTTTTGTCTTCCTTCTTCTCTTCCAACGCTTTGTCTTCAACAACTATCTTCTCTGTGCTCTTCATCTTCTCCTCTTTCCTGTGAACATCTTTTTCCTTGACCTGTGGTACAGATTTGGCATCTTCTTTGACAGTTATTTCCTCCTCTTCTGCAGCCTCTGATGTTTTGCTGCCTTTGCCATTTGCAGATGTTTCCTAAGACAAGGAAACAGAAAAGTTAAAGCTCCAGGATTGGGTAAGTGGTAGATGAAAAAAAAATATCTCAGAAGACTAATACTCAAAGTTCCTCACCTCTGTTGGATCCAGGTATGCAGGTATGACTTTGGACTGTGTGTTGGCTCTGGGATCGGTCTTACGGGAGAAGAACAAGGGGTTGTTGTGGATGATGCACGGGAACGTCTGGAAGCGTTTGTAGACAGAGAGGGCCATGGCCGCGGTTGCCATTTCACAAATGACCTGATCAGGATGAGACGCAACATCATGTCAAAAGAAAAGACAATGCTCTCACAGTTGGGGGACAGTTTTTACACATGAACAGCTCTCACCATGCTGTTAAGCACCAGAGTCTTGATGACTGTACCAAAACGTCGCACCAATTTCTGGACCTCAGAGGGACCTGAGGGGGTGCTGGGGACATTACTGATCACCAACAGGCTGCTCCAACCAACTGGAGCAGGGCTCTCCTGCAGAACAAACATTTGGTATCCATTACTTTGAGGCTGCTTCTATGTCGTCCATGAATATCTTTTGTAAACCCTGTGGCATGGGTCACACGTATTTTTGCAAATGAAATTCTGTGACTCTAACATGTTTTTCGAGCAAATTTTAGGACATTAAATTCTCTGATGACACACTTGTTGACATGAAAACCTTTGTATCTCAACCACAAGTAATGAAACACTGTATATGTGGTAGCAAGTGATGAGAATCTTTCTAAAAGAAGCAGCTGCTGGACATGTTTCTGTGCAGACTGCTTCATTTGGGGTTATGCACTTGAAGAATTCAACCATTCAGATACCTTTAATTACCTTAACATTCAAACAAAAAAGTAAAAGCTCAGCAAACTTTGACAATTTGGGTAGGGATACTCACCGACGTAGCCCCTGTTCCCATAAAAAGATTGTAGAGTGCCACCTGATGAAACAGTCAAGAGTGTATCATGAGTTCATCTTAATCAGGAATATCACACACTAATCGTTTCTGTACAAACATCAGACAGAGCTGTGAAACTATTTTTCCCTACAGTTTTCTTCAGTTTCTGTTTTTCTGTCTCACTCACCTTTCAGATCATCAAACACATTTGAATCGCAAACAAAGATATTCTGGGTAAATACAAATGCAGTTTTTAAATGATGATTTTCATATATATATACCCTCGGCTCCTTGTAATTTTAAGATCAATCTGACCTTGCTTGTCCTCAGAACAGACATGCAGATAAGTGTTGATAAAACAATCCTTTTTTTTTTTTTTTTTCCTTTTACTGACTCAAATCTCTTCAAAAACCTCAGCTTTGACCACCACAAAAAGAAATTAAATAGAAAATTTTTATGCCAGTAATTGTGCACGGTCATAGTGCTTTGATTCATTCGTAACTTTCGTCAAACTTGATGCCTAAATCTTAACAAATATCATTTAATTTATTCTTTATTTCATTCCTTTTAAAATAAAAAGAAACAATTTAATTTAAATACAAACGTTCTCCTATCTAGAATGAAAGGGAGCAGAAAGAAGACTAATCTTATTTTATCTGCTCCTTTATCCCTTAGAAATCAATTTAAAAGAACAAACTTGTAATAATGTCTTACTCTCAACCTAAAGTAATGATGATTAAAATGATGAATGTCCTCAAAACAGACATTGTAGGAACTAAGGGTTAAGGGAAAACAATCGAACCTGTTTCCATCTGAAAAAGTCATCACCCCACCTTCTTAAATCATGAATCTGCTGGGATTAAGCTGCTCACGAGCCATGCCCAGACCTGATAACTGCCAGACCTGTAGAGTCTAGAAATCCCTTGAACAGAAGCTGTCTGACAACACGAGATCATCTAAAGATCTGAGAAAGCAGCACAGTGTGTCCCGATTGAAAGACAGAAACACAAGAACAGATTAGAAAGAAAGTTATGGACATCCATCAGTCTGGGAAGGGTTATAGAACCATTTCTAAGACTTTTTCAAATGACTCCAAGAGTGCATCCATGACTCATCTAGGAGGTCCCAAAGAGAACCTGGAACCACATTTAACGCGCTACAGGCCTCATTTGGCTCGGTTAAGGTCAGAGCTCATTGTTAAACAAGCAGCTATCAGGTTTAGGGGGTGATGACTTTTTTTTTTAGATTAGGTTAGATCATTTTTTCGCTTAGCTAATGATATCATCATTCAAAATCTGTATTTGTATCTACTCAGGTTATCTTTGTCCGGGATTCAATTTTTTAAGGTTCAGGATCTGAAACATGCAAGTGAGACAAAAAAGTAAAAACTGAATAATCTGAAAGGGGGATTACTTTTTCACAACACTGTACATCCTAAAAACATCAAACTTCTTCCAACGGCTCAGTTATTGACAAAAAGGAGACCACAAAAGGAGAAGGAAAATCTGTAAATTGAGTGTGTAGAGACATTTGTTAGTTAATGAGAACGGTACCGGTGTGCTGAGACTGATGCTCTGTCTCAGGTGGATAATTTTCACTTCAACGTCTCCGACCTTGAAAGGCTTGAAAGAGTGGACTTTCACCAACTCCTGCGCTGTCTCCACATCTGGCACTGACAAAAGTACCTACAAACAAAATACAAGCAATGCATCCCTGTCACTTTGGTTATTATGAGTAAATAACCAGAATTAGTAAAAAGGCTGACAGGGCTTGAAAACTGGAACCATTTCAGTCCCATATACTCTGATGGATGTGGTAAAGCCATTTTTTAATTTCTTTGTCGACTATTTGTTTTTAGCTTCCAAAAAAGTGACGTGTTATGATTGCATTTTAGAGGCATAGGTACCTCTAGCAGGCTTTACTAATTAGCCAGGGGCCCATTCAAGCAAACTTGTACATTATCATTCAAACATTGGCTTGACATTCTCAACTGCCAATGTTGATTTTAGATTGGCCCATATTAGCACCAATTTAAGTGAGGCACGAGTGCTCCTGAGTTGGTTTGGAGCACTGGGACAACACACTGTGACTGGACTGGGTCACCTCTCTGCAACAAGTGCATTTCAGGTGCAAATCTCTCACTGCCTCAAACAACGTATTACCACATTTAAGTGCAGTATACACTCATTGGTCACTTTATTAGGTACACCTGTTGAACAGCTTGTTAACGCAAATAGCTGATCAGCCAATCACATGGCAGCAACTCAGTGTATTGAGGCATGTAGACGTGGTCAAGAGCACATGCTGAAGTCCAAACTGAGCATCAAAACGGGGAGAACAGAGGATTTAAGAGACTTTGAACATGGCATGGTTGTTGGTGCTAGACAGGCTGGTCTGAGTATTTCAGGGACAGCTGAGCAACAGGGATTTTCACTCACAACCAGGCAACAAGATGTCAAATATATGCCTGTAAAGTGTGAAAATGGGCCTAACTTATCTGAACTTCAGGTTTGTCTGTCAGCTAGCAGGAGCTGGTTGTCAGAGAATGTTTTGTTCCTTAACTCTGCAAAGACAGAAATGATGTTCACTGCACCACAGAAGTGGTATCATCTGTAAGAAAATGTTACTCTTTCTCTGGAAGATCATGTAGTGCATTGTACTGATAAAAAGAAAAATCTTGAGGTTATATTTGATCAGACTCTTGTGTTTGTCAAACACATCAATGAGATGTCAAAAGTTAGAAAGATTGCTGAGATCAGACCAATCCTGTCTGACAGAGATGCAGAAGTCCTCATTCATGCATTTGTAACATCTCACCTCAACTATTGTAAAGCGCTTCTGTCAGGACTGCAGAAGTAAAGTTTTCGACGGTGCAAAACCCTGCTGCTCATGTCCTGACACAGACAGGGAAATATGCACATATTACCCCAGTGCTGGTCTCTCTACATTGGCTACCTTGTCAGATTTGAGCTGATTTTAAGGTGCTTCTACTGACTTATAGAATTGTTAATGGACTTGCACCTTCTTATCCAGACAATCTTGTCATCATCTATAAACCTTCCTGTATCCTCTGTTCTCAGGGGACTGGTCTTTTGGTTGTACCTAAGGTCAAGAAAAGGACTGTGGGTGAGCCAGCTTTTCCCTTTCGGGCACCGATTACAGAAGGCAGAAGAAGACCACACCGGGGGGCCCCTCCTGTCAGCTAAGACCAGGAAACTAAGGCTATAGTTCACACAGGCTCACAAAAACTAGACTATAGAGGATTAGAGAAACCTGGTCTGATGGGTCCGGCTTTCAGCTGCCACATTCAGGTGGTGGGTTAGAATTTAACCTTAACAACATGACAGCATGGATCCATGCTTCCTTGTGTCAGCAGTTCACGCTGCTGGTGGTGGTCTAACAGTGTGGGAGGTATTTTCTTGGCCCGCTTTGGGCCTCTTAGGACCCCCTGAGCATGATTTAAACCCCACAGCCTACCTGGGTTTTGTTGCTGATCATGTCCATCCTCTTAGAACCACAGTGTACCTATCCTGCTGGAAGTTAGGATAATGTACCATGTCACTAAACTCAGATCACCGCGATAGCGACTTCTGCACAGCTGACTGAGTTCAAGAGGGGAAAAGTCTGGACTAAAAGCTAATGTAAAATCTTTTTTATGAACACAAACTAGACTAAAATGTTTCTGCATTGAACTTGAGAAAAAGTATGCAACATGAATGAGTTTGGTCTTTTCTTGTGCAAACTTGAGATAAATCTACCTTGCCAATCTGTGTCGCTGTGACAATGTCAGAGGGTGTCCCAAACGGCTCGACAAGGTTGATGATGTCACTCTCTGACCAGCCACTCTCAGGAAGTCCTGTAATCAGCACCATGCCTTTCTGCAGACGACAATACAGATTTGTTATTGCTGGTTTGTTACAGTGCTTTTTATAGTGAAAAATGTGAACCTGATTATTTTGTACCTCATCAGACATCTTCAAGTCAGCCTCAGATCCTGCAGCTGGGACTAGAGACGACAAATGAATACACTATTCAAACATTCTTGATGGACCATATCACCTTCAAATGGGACATAAACCAACAGGCTATTTTTGGCTGTTGTAAAATTTCTGTAATTGTTCATGTTATAAAGTCTACAATCATCTAAAGACAAAATTAAAAAAATCATTTTAAAGCCTTTCAAATAAACACCATCACTGTGACAAGTGACTGGCAAAAATACTTTTTAATCACAGAGACAAATAATAAATCCGAAGCGTCAAATCTGTGAAAAGTAATCCACTTTGTCATCATTTTTCATCCAGATTGTTGGAAATGTCTTACTTATAGCTTTTTTAAAGTATATATTTGCATGTTTTCTCATTCATGAGAGCTTTTTTGGTTTTGGACAGACAAATTAGAACAATTTGGAAACACCAAAATCAGCTTTGAAGCTACAATTTTTAAACAGCTAACAGACAAAAAATTATGCAATAAATCAATTATATTATCTTTCATTTGTAAACAGAGTGATAGTTTTGGTTTTCCTACCTGTGTCTTCCTCGGCAACACTTTTCTCTGCCTCCAGAGTGGCTTTGCTGTGAAGACAGAAACATGAATAGTTCAGCCAGAGTGGGTTTATAAGCAGCATGAACTATTACAGATGACTACTGCAAACAGACCTGCTGTCATCATCAGAGGACTTCAGCTCTTCAGTTTTCTAAAAGAGAAAATATTCAATATAGTTTCAAGTTGTGAGGGTCTAAAAAACAGGTATTTGTTTTTTTTTTTTTTAAGAGTAAGCTTCTTCCCCAACAACCAACAGTCCCACCTTTTTGTGTTAAAAACTTCAACCTGCATCATATTATCAGTGCAGCATGAATGCTTTCTGCACATCTACCTTAGCTGTCGAGGCTGCGATTGGCTGCTTTCTGATGGAGAGATTTGTGGAGTTGGCCAGAGCCTGAGCATCCTCAGCCTTCACCATGCACACAGATGCCTGGAACAAAAAAAAACACATGAAGTAAATATATACACATCATGGCGACAACTTGTAAAACAAAGCCCTGAAATGTTCACAGCATTCAGTTACTGTTTTCAGGGGGTCAAAGACAAACAGCTGTACTTCTTAATCTGATGTGACTCAGTCTATATCTTCTGATTAAAACCCAGGATTCTTAATTATTTTTAAATATTAACGAGTCGCTGTCTCTGAAACTTGATACGCATTAAGCTGTAAAGAAGTTCAGGTGGTGAATGGACTACTATTTTATGTTTTTTTCTTTTGCTGCTTGTTGCAGACTTGTTGCTGCTGCTGTTTTGCCCTTGGTTGACTGTGGTGATATTTTGTATATGTATTCAGAATTACATAGATCACGCAAAATTTTGATCGATCTGACATTATTAAAAAAGGGCTGACAGCTGATTTCCAGCAAAGATCAACCTCTGCTGATCAGGAGGAATACAATCTTCATCCATTCAGTGTGTGTGTGTGTGTCTGTTGAAGCAATGCAGTGACTATCACCGTATGGAAGGATTTTGACATTTTACAAGGGGAGTGATTCAGCAGCATCTATGGGCTTCCGTAGCAAGCAAAGTGAAGTTTGGTGTGAGACCATTTTGAGCAGAAAAATGATGAGGTTTGCTGCAAACACTGTGATGCTGCGTACAAGAACAACACAACAGCAACTCCAATGATGTACCAATGGAACCAAATACATCTGACTGGGGTTAATGAATCCTACGAGCCCTCTCAGTCTCAACCTACCATCAGCTCCTTGCTAGCAAGGAGACCTGTAGGGTGACCAGATGTCCCCTATTTCAGGGGACAGTCCCTGTTTTGGATGACCTGTCCCCAGCTTAAATTATCCCTGGAAATGTCCCAGAACAACAGTTGGGGGGGAGGGTATTTCAATGAGAAAAAACAAGTTCTTTTGAATTGATGATTGATTGTTAATTTATATGATTAATCGAACAAGGGACTTTCTTAAAATGCCCATTCCTAATATGTGTGCATCATCTCACTGCCTTCACTGCCTAGATATCATTTAACATGGAGCTCTGAGGTTCATAACAAGTATTAACAATAACAGACTGAATCACTGGTATCACCTGATTTATAAGCTGATCTCAACTTGTTTCACTCTTATTTCAGTCATTTTATTATTTGGAAAAATGGTGGGAGCTGCAGTTTTATTTCTGTGATCCAGCCACAAGGTTTATCTTTGTGCGACTAGAAATGGGTAAAATGAGGGAGGGATGTCTCCATAGACATAATAAAAGGATAGACCCCGCTGTGGGTGCTGCGCAGCGAGAAATGCGGCCGCCATCTTGGTCAGGTCAAGCTTCCCATACGCTCCGGTCAATCATATTCATTCATTCATTCATTCAGCGATGCCGGAGCACTGTGCGGCGTATTCCTGTGCCAACAGGCGGACAGCAGAAAACAGGGCTCAAGGAATAACTTCTCACAGTTATGATTAAACGTTTTTTCAACATTACACTTGACTGTAGAGTCATTTGTAGGCCAAAGAGGAAGACTATCAGTCAACTCCAAAAAGGAAACAGCATTTGCGAACAGCTAGCTTATTCACAATAATAGCAACTTTGTTCTATTATCAACAGATTTGCATTAGATTGAAAAACTTTTGTTTGAGAGAGGTTCTAAGAAACGTTAAGAAATAAAATAGAAAGAAGAAGGAAGAAAGTGAGCTCTGTTTTATTAAAGATTTCTTTGTGGTGATCTCCTGTTTCATTTTAAAGATTTCCTAAGGACAAAAACTTGAGGAAGAAGTGGGAGATTGCTGTTAGAGGGAGAAATTCGCAGCAAGTGATTCCTCTGTGCTGTGTAGCCAACAAGCAAATTGATATGTAGTTTAGACGCTGTCCTGTCATGCTGTTCTTGTGTTTAATTTTTTTTTTATATGTAGGCGATATATTTGTGTGTATTTCTTTGTGTGTATTTTCCAGTTATTAAAATAGTGCTTCTATATGACATTATTTGTGTGTGTCTACAAATGGATAAATAAAATTAAACTAAATAAAATATAATCAAATCAATATATATTGAATTGGCCTATTAAAACCGCCAGTTATTAATAATTATTGAGACATAGCAGGAACCTAGCTCTAAACCTAGATCTATCCTTGATTAATTGTTATACTATAATACAGCCACTGCTGCCATGTTCTAAAATATCATTTTATTCATTCTGAGTATTTGAAAACGCCCAAAAAAATATGGCCTCTATCATGCCTCTTTGAATGGCGTTTGCAGAGAAGAAAATTACGTAGTATTGAGCGAACTATGATTCATTTAATGCGCTCAGACTTCATTCCGCCGGTTAAACAGCGGTGTAGAGTGAGGCGGATGACCGGACCAAGATGGCGGCCGCATTTCTCGACAGCGCCCATTCGTGGTAGCGGCCGATGCGGGGTCTATCTTTTATTATGTCTGTGGATGTCTCAATCAAGTCAGAGCTGCTCTTGGCCTTTTTATTGATCAACGATCAGGAAATTCAGCCGATCATCACACTCAATCATTAATGTCAGCCACACTGAGCGCAGTTTGTTCAAAAGGCAAATGCTCAGCATAACTGAGAGTTCTGGGTTTGCCTTCTTTTATTTGATAATATATTTGAAGCTCTAGCCAGGCTTGAACTTTAAGACATTAACGTGTCAGCAGCCAGGCAGATTACAACAAAAACAGCTTTGGGGCAGCCGACATTAACTCTGCAGAGACAGATGGCTAAAAAGACAAAGCATCTGTGCATTAACAACCCCATGGCAAAAATCAACAGTGAGAAATATTAGAAACTAGAGAGTAAAAGCAGCCCAAAAGACACCAGCATATACCATATAATCATCCAGCAAGGCAGTAGCAGAAAAGCTGCGTTCAATACAACCAATTTAATAACAAATCTGTAAAAGTAAATATGCAAGCTACATGAAGAGTTCTCTACAGCATCAGAGTAAAAGGCAGCAGCAGAAGGATCAGGGGCCCAAACAGCTGATCAGGACATCCCTAGTTTTAGGTATACTGCTCCTAAAAGCTGAACTTTGCTTCAGAATAATTTGGTTTGGAGAGAGCTGCTCTCTCTGGATGTTATAAAAGCTGACTGAAGGCCATAGAAGAGGGTGCAGTAGACTGTAGATACTCTGAGTGAGGGCTCACTGTTATGTGATTCAGGATATGTTCACACGTGTTTCAAATGAAGTGTCCAATGTCTTTAACTTAGTTCAAACATGCTGCTGCTTATCTTGATCAGGACACCTTTGTAAAAGAGTTTTTCAATTTTGAAGAGGCTTTTTTGGTTAAATAAGTTTAGACACACAAATTCAATTTACAGAGCTGTCATACCCACCAGCATTTGTTCTATCATGTTTCGCAAAGATGTCTTACAAACATCAAACCTATAAGACAAACATTTTCTGCAAACTGCAACAAAAGCAGTTTTTTAAAACTTCAAAAGCACCTTCTGTCCTTCGCCCTTCTCTTTCTCCTCCTCAGAGCACGCCATGAGGATCACATTGTTGATTTTACCAAATGACCCGACCAAGTCAGTCACTTCCTGCTCTGATGCATCTTTTGGGATTCCTGTCAGGTAGACCAGACGATTCGCAACAGTCGTGTCCTGGGAGGCCGGAGTCACAGCTTTTTTCTTCTTCTTTGGAGGTGGAGGTTTGACAGACTGGAGACAGAAGACATGAAGTGTTCGGGTAGTTTAAAAAGGATTTGAAACAATGTAGTCCACATCCAATCAATGTAGCATCTGATCAAACACATTATTTAACAAGGCTTGAAGTTACACCCACAGAATCAGCAGCCTTTACACTTGATGTCTTGGTTGTCTTGACTGCAGACTTCATCCCACTCTTGACTGTCTTGGTGGAGGACTGCGATGGCCCATGTCTTGAGCCGTGACCCGCCCTGGAGGAGGGCTGATACCGGCGGGTGTCAGAGGGGAGCCTTGCTGAGTCACCGTGTAGACGTTTCAGACCACCACGAGAGGGATTACCTGAAGACACACAATCAGACCCAAGAGAGCAAAGACAAACACTGGTGTAAATTCTGGATTTATCCAGATCAGACCATAAGGTTGTGTCAGCATCCCTTTTATGGGAACTGCCATTACCAGGCGACACAGCGCCTCTCCAGAAACCTACAGGTAACACCACTGAGACTATGTTGTTTGGTTTTTACCTGCATAGTGTTGGTGGCGAGGGTGATGATGGGGCGAGTATGGCCTCCCATGTGGCCTGTGGTGGTGGGGGCCAACCCTGTGTTTGCTGTGGGGGGGGCTTAGAGAAGGAGAACATGACAAAGATCGGGACGCAGATTGGGATGGAGAGCAATCCTTGGAATCCCATGATCCTCGGCTGCCAGGTCGTCCACTCCTACTGGATCAAGGAAAACTTAAAATGAACAAACACAACCAGCACACAGATGCTACAGGTGCTTAAGTGCTGTCACTAAAAACCTTCATTTTGTTCATGTTTTTATGTGCTTCCCATTTGTTTTCTTTAGGTCCTATAGCCTTCATGGTGCAATAAGTAAAATATACATTCTGTTCAGTGAGCTGATTTGTGCACTTAAGGTATATGAATGTGTTGGTCCTGTCAACTGACAGGAGCGACTCCTTCAGTTCAACTGACCTTGGTGGATTTGGCTTCCAGTCAGGGTACCTTCAGGGACGAACATAAACATCCATTAAAATCTCAGAATAACCCAAAACAATCAAGTGTTCTTTTAAAACCTGCATTAAGCACTAGTGGTGCAACAGATCATCATTGATCCGTGATCTGTGCGGATCAATATCTTCGGTTCGGCACACATCGTGGATTGATTTTTGAAAAGAAAAAGTTGTGCACATGTTCAGTCCACACACTTGTTAAGAGCAGCGTGGTTATGGCAAGCAGAGGAATGAAGGAGCTTGAACGCCCCGCGTCATTTAAATCCCCTGTATGGGAGCATTTTGGCTTCCCTGCCAGATAGAATGATGAAAGAAAGAGGTTAGTGGATAATACCGTGACTGTGTGTCGGCACTGTGGCACAAGAAAGCCATATGACAGTGGAAACATATCAAGCATGGCCTATCATTTGAAGCAACATCACCCCGGTGTTTCACTGATAGGAGTGAAAACGAAGGTTGCTCAACAACCACTTATCAACCCGGCATTAAGCAGCCCCTTGCTGCATAATCCAACCGGGCTGAAGCCATCTCAAAAACTATTGGTGTGTTTATAGCTGCAGACATGCAGCCATGCAGCAAAACAAGGGCTTCAAACACATGCCGAAAGTGCTTGACCCACATTACATCCCCCCCTTTGGGTTGATTTTCTATATTTTAATCTAACAAGCTGATAAACGAAAGACAAAGCTATTTTTATTTGTCTTGTTTTTTGTTTGTTTGTTTGTTTTTTGCTTATCTGAAAAATGATCAGATCCGTGACTCTGATCCGAGAAACGACCCGAACCCTGAGTTTTTTGATCTGTTGCACCCCTATCACGCACACGCACAAAATGCTCAGTCCGGTGTACCAGACTCACTCAAAAAAAAAACAAGATGCTTCCATTTTTAGACAGCTCTGGTATGCTAGCTTGGATATCTTTTTTAAAGTTAACAGTCATAGCTCGCCCTAGGTTAACTGTTTCATGGTGAGCTGTGTAAGTCCACCAACACTAATGCATCTCTAATGGTGAGTCAAAATAGGAAAGAACAGTGTTTTTCCATGAACACTGCCTAACTCTGTACATAGTACAAATGTTCTGTCCCTGCTCTTTCCCATCTTCAGCTCTATGGATGTGTGACCAAAACAAAATGACATATTACTTCTGCAAACATCTGTAACATAAAGGGTGTCATGCAGTAAAATGTCCTCACTTGTTGCGCAGGTCTCTGCAGGCAGCAGTGTGGTTGACAGTGTTAACATGGTCAACCCAGTCCTGAAGAAAAATAAATGATAGAAGACAACAAGATCAGACTCAAACATACACAATCCTAAACAAGACTAGACTCATACTCCATGTGTCTGAAGATCAAAACTTTCAGGCCATCAGAGATACAGTGAATGTTTGCTACCATCCTTCAACATGCTGTTTACCAGCAGACTTTTTACCTTGTTCATCTATAAATTCTGTTACAGCCCAAAGAGACCAAAAGTACAATATTTACACTCTATACACTCTATTTACCATTGTATTACAGTGACTATCAATCTTCACGAGTAATACAACAATGACAAAACACACTCACACACACATAGACAAAGCCTTTAAAGTTTTGTGGTTGTAAATAATAAGTTCCACTGGCAAAATAAAGGAAATGCCATTTAAGACAACTCTGTCAGCTTCATTATCAATTTAACATAGAAGAACGTAAAATTCAGAGTGAAGAATAAAAGTCTGGCAGTAACCAAGTTTACTCAGAGAAACCACAATGACTTAAGTCGTAACCTTCAAACAACAAGTTTGTGGCGGTAATATTTCACATGGAAAATATGTGTTTTTCTAGAAAAAATGGGGAAATGTAAAAGCAATAGCTGCTAATAATTTCTTTTGTTCAAGCTAACCAAATCTTTGAAGGACTTCATATTTTGAAAACTTAAAAAATTTTGTAAGAGGATGAGAGCTCCTGACTTATGAGGCCTGACCTTTCTAACAAGTTCTAGTCTTTAAAAATAGGAAAAAAGACAGAGAGTCATACATTTGTCAAAGGATTTAGTTGAATACATCGTTTATGTTAAATTAGTTTTTGTTAAATATCTTTTTTTATTGTTGGCCCAAAATTCCAGTCATTTCTTGCCACTAACAAAGGCTGTGGTTCAAGGTATGGCTGTGGCCATAATGCCACAGGGCAATAATGCTCTACTATCTATGTGGAAAATATAGACTGTTTACAGTATGGACAACGTGACTCAGCCTCCGGTCATTCTACAAATTTGAATATCCGTGCATTTTCTCTATTTTCTGAAGCCAGCATTTGCAAGGTGGCGTTCAGCGGGAGAATGTTGTGATGATGCTGTGCTTAGACAGCGTATCGCCAGGATGATCTACGCAATCGTCTTTACTATAGACTGAATTCAGGTGTCAATCATAGAAAATATGACATCATATCCTGTTTTTATAACCCCTAATAACGACTTGAGCACAAGCCAATCTTACAATAACTACATGACAAAATAACAACCAGAGGTAAGAAAAATGTATGACTTCTATTTAATTTTCAAATTTTGTCCACAACTCCATAAGTTTGCTGGAGAAGGTAGGGTTTATGACCTTTACTGCAACCAGTCACCAGAAGGTGATGTTCTTGCAGAGTCTTCACTCAGCAAAGCGGTAGATGACGTCCATTCTATATGCAGTCTATGGTGGAAATAAGTACAGCTGGCATTGTGCTGGTATTTGACTAAGGAAACACAGATAGTGTCAACCAGAAGAAACTCTAAACAAGCACAGGGCTGTGGAGGGAAGACAAAACCTGATGGTGCTGGCTCAGCTGGTGGTAGTTAAGTATAGCAAACAAATTTTACACAGTTTACCTGCCAACTATAATCTTGTGTTCAGCTGTTAATAAACTGAGCTCAATTTTAACTGAAGATTGTCTTATCCTTAACAAGCTGGCTAGTCTTTATTTAAATCCCCTTGCAAAATAAGATTAGGGAATTATCATAATCTCTGAAAGAACTGAAAACTCAAGAAAAATCTGAGTTTTCAAACTTCGCTGGGATAATGGTTAGAGTCCTATCTAGCAGACTATTAAGGTATTGGGAAAAAAAAAATCTGTGACATGACATAAGGCAGTTTCTGTCATTTTCTGTTTTCATCAGATCTGACCTGTTATTGAAGAAAAGACAAACAACTTCTCTGAGATATTTGTGATTTCAGTCAGAATTCTGAGCTGAATTTCAGGCCAAGCTTAAAAATATACATTCACTGGCCATGTCCTCTTTGTAATGTAGGGTCAACACATTCATGACATCACTGTTGTGACACTAAAGCAGAATACAAACCATTTTGATACATCTTATTCCAGTAAATAGTTTATCACATACCTATTTCAGAACATGCACTTCAAAGCCAGAGACAAAGTCACTGGTGTTCTTAATTGACCTGACTATAATCACTTCAAAACTTGGAAAAGTAGGTGATGTTTCATTTGAAATACCTCCAGGTGAGTTTGCAAAGTATTTAATATAATAAATACTGATGTCCCATATATCTGGTAGACATCGTTGCCATTATCAAATGTGCATTTGCAATTCAAAATACAACTTCACTTAGCAATATACATGGGGGCAGTAATTACCCAGGAAACAAACCATCCAGTGTCAGTGAGCAAAAAAGACAGAACCAAATAAGTGTTTAGCAGGGTCCAGAACCCAGATGTCTTTAGATATAACTAACTACTAATGTTTGACCTGACAGTCAAAGTTAGATACATTTTTGACAGTTTCTTCATATCAAATGAAACAAAAAGAATTTGTTTGGTAATCATGAACATACTTGAACATTTTTTTCTGTCAGCACTCTTTTTTTTTTTTTAATAGTTGAGCTGGTGAATTACCACTCGGGTATTTCCAGGAGTAAAGGTGAGTGAACATGGCAGTATTTTCCAGTTCAGCAACCAAAGGTAGAAGCCTGATCTTCAGACAGGCCACCACTGGAAAATGTAGCCCTGACCTCAGCTTTTTTTACTCAACTTGCTGTTTTTTTTTTGGTTACAGTATAAATTGTTTGGTTGGAAACTGTCCAGTTAGATCACAGCAGTCCTCTAGGCTCACTTTGAAGCTGAGCTGGCTGCTACAAACTAAGAAGGGGAAGTGGGGCTCTTTCAGCCTTTGTAAGAAGACCAATGTTAAAACACATGGCCTCTAAATCTTCACCAGACAGTCCCCTATGCACATCATTTTTTCATGTTGGTTAATTCCAGCTCACCATGCAACTAAGGTGAGAATACTCTTACAACCCTTATTCCGTTTCAGTTGGGACACTATGTAATTAAAAAACAATTTTTAAGGTTTGGCAAATCATTGAAATCATGAACCTCACTGAAAGCAATGCAAAGTAAACTTATCAAAAGTTAAAACCTAACAATGTTGTTGTTTTAGAAAGATAAATGCTAAATTTTAAATCTAATGGCCTCAAAACGAACATGCAAATGGGAAAAAACTGGAGGAAATTCTCCAACTAATATTAAATTACTTTCCAACAGGTTAGTAACATGACTGCATATAAAAAGGACATTCAGAGAGGCTAAATCTCGCAGGAGGAAAGATGGGAAGAGGTTCACCAGTCTGTGACAGACTGTGTGAGCTAATAGTTAAACTTTTTCAGAATAATATTCCTGAATGTCAAATGTGAAAGAATGAGTGGATTTCATCATCTACAGTTCATAATATCATTCAAAGGTTCAGAGGATCTGAAGAAAACTCTGTACTAAAGGGACAGGTACCAAAACCAAGGCTGGATGGTCCTGATCTTCAGGCCCTTAAGGAGCACTGCATAAAAAAACAGACAGGACTCTGGAGTGGAAATCAGTGCATATGCTCAAAGTCATAGCCTAAAAAATATTTTCCATGAACACAGTTCATCACAGCAGCCACAGATTAAGTTAAAACTGAACCATGCAAAGAGGAAACCAGATAGAAACAGGATCTGGGAACACCAGAGACTTCCCTGAACCTGAGACCATTTAAGGTGGACTGAGGAGAAGAGGAAGACTGTCCTGTGGATTGAGGAGATTAATTGGGTCCAGCCAGTTTGTTCTTAGTTCCCAGACCAAAGCTAGCATCTCTGATTGTCTGGGGATCATCAGAATCCATGTCATGGGTAGCTTCCACATCTGTGAAGGCTCCATTAATGCTGAACAATATCTACAGGTTTAGGAGCAACATCTGCTGCCATCCAGACAAAGACTTTTTCAGGGAAGTCAATGACAAACCATTTCCTGACAACAGGGATTAAAATAGCATGGCTCTGTGGGAGAAGAGTGCTGATAAACTAGCCTGATGCAGTCTTGACTTGTATCCATTGAAAACATCTGACACATTATAAAAATGAAAAACTCCAGAAACATCTCCTTGGCTCCCAAATGGTTTAGAAATGTCAAAAGAAGGGGTGACTCAAAACATGGTTCTGTCTCAACTTTTCTGAAACATGCTGCTGACATAAAATTTTGAATGGGCATTGATATGTTGTCTTTGCACTACTGTCAAATAAATAGAGCTTAAATAATTCAAGAACTTAAAATTCTATTTTTACCGGTATTACACAGAGTAGCCTAACTGTTTGGGAACTGGGGTTGTACAACAAGTTGTCTTGGCTCTGTCTGGTGAAGAAAAGCTTCAGTGTTAATTTCTATTTGTCAGGTATTTCTTTTGGACATTGGTACAAAGGCGTGTTGGCACTCACCTTTTCCTGATCGCACTGTGTATGGCACAGTGAGCAGGTGTGGGGATACACCTTTGGAGAGACAGCTGAGAAATCACTTATCATGGTGGGGGTTGGTAACTTCTTGCTGCTGCTGTGTAGTTTTGAGCCTGACGAAGAAGAGAGAGATCGCCTCAAAGAAGCTTCACTCCTGGTTTCAGATGAGGGCCTGGGTTTTGGTGCTTCTCGTCTGTAGTCCCGGTCTAGATTACGAGGTTTTGACAATCGTTGAAATTCTTTCCCAGGAGACCTATTGCTCTTGCGCTGGTTGTCACTTGCCCCACGGTAGTCCTGATCACCGTGCTTGCTTGGTTCAGTGTGTTCCAAACGAACTTGCCGCCTTTCAGCTTTCACCGATTTTGGAGGCGATGAGGATTGCACTGAAGTTTGGTACATTTTAACAGTCCTTTCAGTGGAAAGCGGTTCTCTTTTGAAAGTCTTTCTGGTAGTAGTTTCCTCTTTTGCCCGACTCGCATGACCATAATCAATGACTTTACCAGCAGTCTGTGTGACAGTGAGAAGGCTGGGCACCTCTGGGGAGCGTGATCGAGAATGAGGCCGCGGCATTTCTTGGATTCCACTTGTGAACGAGGATGACGCAGCAGAAGTAACAGTATTCTGGGACCCTGATTTGTTGATTTGGATATCACGGAGTATGAAAGGTAAAGTATCAGGGGTCAACTGATCATCAGGGTAGTGACTAAGCACTTCCAAGTCCTCATTTGAAAGTCCAAAGCTAGCCAAGATGCTTCCTGCACTTTCTGGTGTGTACATGCTCTGACTCTCTCCACTTCCCAGTGGATGCCGGGCTTGAGGAGACTGACAGTCACTTGTATTTGTTTTCCAACTTTGGATGCGGGGTCCAGGATGGCTGCTCTGGGGCTGCTGTTGAGGACCCGGGTGCCGTGGGGGCTGGTGACTAGCACTTGGTGGAGGACTTGAAAAAAGCTTAGTTGGAGGTTGGTAGCTTGACCAGTCCACTCCTTGCTGATGTGCAGGATGATTCACAGAGGTGAGTGTCATAGGGTTGGAGCCAAAGCTTCCATGTTGACTGATCCCAGGAGCTGAGCCTTGGCTCTGGTGTTGGTTTGGCCGACTCATGTGGTCTATGAGCCTGTGGTCCATGTCCCTACTGCCACGAATGGCCAGAGCAGACTCTAGCTCATCAGGGAGTTGGGTGGGACGAGGAAACTGGAAACCCATCGCTTGCGACAACATATCAGAAGAATTGCGGTTCTGATGTTGATTTGGAGGTGGCTGATGATGGGGAGGCCTGGGCCCATTTGAGAAGGCCTGCGACCCCTGTTGTTGGGAATGGTGGTGATACATTCCAGCAGAGAGACACGGCTGTGTGTTTCTGTAAGTTTTGCTGTTTGTGTCTATGTACGACCCGACTGCCAACACCTGCTGTCTACCGAGAAGACTGAGGAGCGAAAGGTGAGGAGGTAAGGCTGCTGCAATCCCGTTGATGTTGTGACATTGGTTACCAACAGTTATGGTTGCTAGAGCAGCAAGCTGCTGGAGAGCAACTTGGGCCTGACTCGCAATCTGTGCAAACCTGAGAGCTGTTGCTGCTGCAGCACTGGGTCCAAAAATGAAATGAGTCCCTCTGGTACTGTTGCCAATGGAAAAAGTTGCGCTGGGCTCCAACCGAAGGGTAGGTACAAGGCGAGAATTACTGTCAGTGCGCACAGCAAGGCTGTGAGGTGGAAAGCAGAAATAAACTATTACACATGATCATGCTTTTTCGTGTCATTTCAAAAGGTGTCTTTCAGATAAAGTTCTTTGTCCCAAAAAAGCACAATTGCTGAGTGTTTTATCTTTCTTCCTCTTAATTTTTTTTCTGGGCTCTTAGAAATACTCTCAGTATCAACTCTCTCTACCATAGGTATTGTGCTCACCAAGTTTTATGCAAAAACACTGATTTAATACATTTCCAAAAAAAAAAAAAAAAAACAGCACATGCTTTTACCCACTGGGACACTGGAAAGACACACTCAGAGCTTGACAGAAAAACAATAATGATAGTTTTCAACAAATACATGTTTACATGACTTTACCTGACTCTAAATGGTCAAATTGATTTTTCATTTTTTTTTTCAATTACGTGCCTCTCTTGACCCCTCACTGAATTTAAAAACTTGTGACAGTCTTTAGAAACTCATATCAGGAGGTTGACCTGGGTTTTTCAAAACATGCTAAGAATGGCTCATCAAACTAGTTTCTTTACAATTTTTTTTTCAATGCAGATTTTAAGAGTGATATCTTTTATGCAAAAAGAGGCCCCAGACAAAACCTACAAACACTGTAGGGTCAATTTAAGACTCATGTGAGGTTTGCAGCCTGATAAGGTGTTGCTCCAGTATTTCCCCATGTACAGGGACATAAACAAGCAGAAACCCAACAAAAAGGTGCTGGTAGAGTGGGTCTTTTTGACATATAAATCAAATGACTTTGTCCAAACCTTGACATAAGCCATTTTTCAAAAATCAACAATTTCTCAGTTTTACACTGAATATTCTGTCAACTAATTGTTAATTTTCCTTGTCCTGGAATTCATTTTATGAAAAAAGTAGAAATATGTTGTCTACATTTCTCTTTCTTAAATCAGGAAAACACAAACAAAAATGAAGTCTGACAACTTTGAAACATGTGGGTCTGTTTGACATACTCACCAGAAATAGGACCTAAATGAAGTAGTTAGTCCACTAAAAATTGGTTTATGCTGTTAGGGGAAGTAATATCAAACCACACTTATATTTCTCTGATGTAAGCTTTTTGAAATCAGTGTCCAGTAAGGCCTAAATATAGCCCCCTTGTTGGCTGGGTCGATGGCTGTTTTCCCACTTGCAAGATGTGCCAAATCACACATTTGTCAATATTAGTGGTGTGTCGGTCTTGAACGAACGGATCAAAAGAACTAGTTCTTTTTGGTGAACGAAATGAACTAGTTCTCCCCCCCTAAATGACCCGTTCAGTCCGTTCAGTTCTTTTGATTGGCTGAAGAGGGACTATCTCCGTGCTTGCCTGTCTTATCCTATCGTCGCGCCTCGTTCTGTGTGTGGGTGGGGCTTAGAGAAGCAGCAGCAGTACTACTGAGCTGACTGAAAGACCGGGATGACCGAGTTGACTGAAAGAACGGGTTAAATGAACGAAAGACCGAGTTGAACGAAAGACCGAGTTGAACGAAAGACCCAGACCGATGAACGAGTTGACTGAAAGACCGAGTGAACGAAAGATCCAGACCGATGAACGAGTTGACTGAAAGACCGAGTGAATGAAAGATCCAGACCGATGAACGGGTTGACTGAAAGACCGAGTTGAACGAAAGACCCAGACCGATGAACGAGTTGACTGAAAGACCGAGTTGACTGGCCGCCGCACGAGCCGTCGGACCGAGCCCGAGCGAGCGGGACACACACACACACACACACACACACACACACACACACACACACACACACACACACACAAAGGCACACAGCTGCTGCTGCAGCCAGAGGCAGAGAGACAACTATTAATACGCATTTGCACTGTCTGTTAACATTTTGTACTTTTTATTATTGTTTTTAATGCACCTCAAAATAATAAAAACCATTAAAAACCTTATATATTTTGTTATTCCTACTATAATTTTACATTACAAGGAGTGCAGCGCGATCACAGCGTTGGACCGGGGGTGGGAAGTGGCGGGTGCAGCGGTCACAGCGTCGGACCGCGGGGGGGTCGCAACGTCGGACCGGGGAGCTGAGACGCTCTCAACGTCGGATCCGGAGGAGTGTAATGCTTCAGAATTCAAGATCACATGTTGTTGCGCTGTTGAGTCTGAAGTGCAGTCAGTCCGTTCACTCATCACGTTCGTTCAGACGCTGAACGAACGTGAACAACATGAACGAGCGGACTGACTAACGACCGATTGACCGAAATGAACGGGTCTTTTTACTGAACGACCCGGAATGATCCGGTTCACTGAAATGAACGGTTTTGCCCACCACTAGTCAATATTACCTGTATAAAACATAACTCCAATATAAATAAAACAGAATATTATACATGGACCACATCACATGTTGCTGTGCAGAATTAATCTGGACAAGTTCTCCAACCCTTGAGGGCAGATTTCATTAACAGAGTATACCCAAGCAACCTTTTACCAAGTAAGAGCTCTAAGGGGATACCCGATTGTGCATGTTGGGGAAAACTATTTAACAAGAAACAAGGGGGGGATAAAGGTTAATTAAGCGATACAAAAATGTATTAATTACTAGTGCAACATTATCTGCAGAATCATAAAGCATGCAGGATGTCACATCATTTCCAGTGCAAGTGCAAAAAAACAGCAGGGAGAGTTCTCGCCAAAATATAGTATCTGCTTTTTCTGATAGTTTAAGTTCATGTCTAGGGATGTGCCGATATACGATTTAATGCGATATTAAATGACCGCGATGATGAAATTGTAAGGTACTGTAATAATTGTTCCGCAATTATAATTTATAGACTTCAGCGGAGGCAAGTGAAGCCGAGTACTTACTAACCTAACCAGCTTGCAGTCTTACCCATGGTGTCAAAGCCTCGGGAGCAAAATGTACACACAAAGCACCATAAAAGTAGTCCCAAATCCAAAAAAACTCTCAAATTAAGTACATTAATGCCAGCCTAACAAAAACTGGAACATTAAAAGAGAAAACGAAGAAATTTTACAACAAAATGCATGGCCACCCATAATGCATTGCGGCCACCCAACGCACTGTTGGAGCATGTCCACAACGCATCCCATCCGCTCATTAGCTTCTTAAAGTGGAGGAGATATGATCTGATATTTTAAAAAAACAAGTATTGGATCATGACAACATGTCAAATGGAGCAGCAAACTTTCGTTCTGTTTTTATGTGTCCCAAAAAGGCACATATAGAGGTGTACTTGGGTACATAAACTGTGCAGTAAGCTGTCAAGGTAGAGAGCATTATATTTTCGGGACAGCAAATATTCCGAATCAGAGGGCTATTGTTTTCGGCTTATCTGAATAGTCTGAATGAAATCATTAAAGGCACACGCTTTTGAATCCACCCAGCGGTAAGGAAAACTTATTTCACCTTATGTACTTTCAACCGCGCTCCCTTCAGGGGTGCATTCAACGGCATAACTTGGGACCAAGAACAGTCAGAGACTGAGAATGACGAAACACCTCGGCTGTATCCTCGTATTAAAAAGGTTTCGTCGGCAGTATGGACGTTTTACGGCTTCACAAAACAGACAAAGCAGACAAACCTGACACCAATGTGCAGGTTATGCCGTAAGGAAGGTGCAGCGCCGTTGTCGAACACTTCAAACCTACGTGCCCATCTCCGTGAACACCATCCAGCATCGCTTGCCCAAATCAAAGTAAAAACAACATGACCGCAACAAGTTTGGTCTACTCTACAGCTTATTATTGACAACGTTAGTGACGTTTCTGCTAAATTTTGCTCCAAAAAGCTAATGCTCCCAACGTCGCGTGAGTTGCCTCTTGCTCATATTGTTTGTAACGTTAAAAGCAATGTGATAATATCTTGAATCATGATAATTTGGGACACCAATATCGTGATATCAAATTTTTCATATCGGCACATGCCTATTCATGTCTATCTAATGTTTGCTTAGGGCTTAATGAAATATTTGACAATAACATAGCCAAGACATGGCCAGTTTCCTTAGTCTGCAGTGGGATAATCTACCTGACAAATATCCAATGCAAAAAGATCTACATTAGGGCAACATCTTCTCTAAGCTTTTGTATTTCTTCAGTGTTTCTTTCTCAGACTATTTAAAAAAAACACACACACACAACAAAGCTCTTTCAACAGCATGCTGTGCATTTTTTCATCTGACACCTAGCCTGGCAAAGGTAAGATGTCTGAAATTTAGTGGGGGCATGACAATATCAAAATCTCAACTATGACAACGTTGCAAAAACAAGTCCTAAAGGTATTTCTGGCTATTTAAAAAAACAAATCAGACTTGGTAATATTACACACCTTGAAGAAGCTCATCTGTGATGGATAATAAATTAAAGAAAAAGTGACCCAAACAAGCATCCCGCCTCTCTCCAAAGACAAGGAAGATGAACTCTAGAAGGATAAACAGGCCATACTTTTTCATGAAAAGTCTTTTTTAGAGTGAATAAGATAAGAATAACTTTATTAATCCTCGAAGGGAAATTCAATAATTGAATAATAATAATTCAATAATAAATTGCTGGGGGAAAAAGAGAATTTTCTCTCAAACAACTGTATTATTTATGTTTCTTGTTCAAACCCAAGCCAGTGTTTCTTGACTTAAATTTTTGGGGCTTGTTAAAATGTCGATTTCCCACAGCTGCTTTAAGTGAATGAGAAGGTGACTTTCCTGCAGCAGCAGCAGCAGCAGCAGCATGAGACTAAAAAATGACAAACTTCTATTAACCTAACCACAGTGTTCAGCCACACTCTATGCCTCCTCGCACCTTTCACCGTCCTTGCAGGCTACTAACCATGAATGTTTTTTTTAATGTGGTTTAATAAGTTTTAGCTTGAATTGAGATATTATTCAGAGACTTTAATAGATAATGTTATTTGTGCACTAACTGTTTGCTCAAACACATACATTTGGGGTTTCATTCCCCATCCCTAGATACATATTACTGTTGGTTATCCAATCTTTTTTCTCATTGTGGCGTCCACAGTGTTTACACTCTCACCCCTCGGTTCCTCACCTTTATTGCTGGTGTCAATCACTTTCTCAGGACTACATCTAAGGCAAGAAGTCCAGTGCAAAAATTACACTCAAGCATAAGATGATGGTCTAAATCCTTGCTCTGATCCACTGAGGCTGAAACAACACTACATTTTTAGACCAGAAGACCCATCATTCATAGCAACACTGGTCTACGACAGTTTTTAGTCTCTTCTACCTTAATATTGATAAGCCTGTTGCTACCACTCTGACATTCAGTCATAATGCTGATCACCAGGATAACTATATTTATCAAATTTAGACAGTCTCATTACCAGTCAAAACCCCCGCATAGAAGCTTTACATTCAGGTAAAATAAAGGTGAACAATAAAACTTTGGCCTTTTTTTCCCCAAACGACTTACATCTGTTTCTGATCATCACCCTCAGGAGGTGTGTAAAAACGGAAGCCTGAGGCATTTTCTACAAGGTAGCAAGATTTAACAGTACACCAACGCAATTTCATGCAACAGCCCTGGGTACAGCTCAGACAACTGGTACCGTTATATAACAACAGAACTTGACTGAAGTGTGAGTATCAGGCTCGGGCCCGTCAACATCTCTGAAAGCTGTTTTAAATGGGTCCATGATGTGGACCAAGCTACCGAACCAAGCTAAATTACAGGCACATGTAAAGTCACCACATCAACAAACCGCCTTCATATCGAGTAATAACATTATTGCGATCGAGAAGGTTCTATTAGACAGTCTGATCCACGCACCCAGACCCGCCGTCGGACGCGAGAAGAGCTAAGTTACCCTTTTAGATGATAGCATTAACAGCTGCGTTACATTTTAGAATAAAATTCTGATTCCAAATCGATAACCTACCTATCAAATACCTTTCTCAGTATGTAGGCGTTTTTCTTTGTTGAGATCGGATAGTAAGTCTTGATCCTTTTTCTGCACGCAGTCACTCGTATGCAAAGAAGCCCTTGTCCGCCATTACTGGTGACGACACTTCTGCGTCTTGTTCTTCTTCTTCTTTAGTTTGACGGCAGTTGGCACTCTTGTGTACGGTGCATTACCGCCCTCTTCTGGCAATTCTTATGCAAAACCCTGTGCACCACCCATTCCCATCTCATTCACTCACACATTCATACTCCAACTGACTAAATCCTATCAATCAACCCCGTCACCCTTAAAAACTCGACTAACACTCTCACATGTGCCCTGTCCCCCCATCTGTAATACTCCCTTTAGTGTAAGGTCCTGCATACCCAATTCCCTCAACTTACTTCTCATCTCTCCCCTTTCTATCTCATATCTCCTACAACCCATTAGTACATGCTCCACTGACTCCTCCACCTGACATCCCTCACATAACCCAGTCTGGTGTTTCCCTATCATTTTCAGTGTTTTGTTTAATGCACAATGACCTAACCTCAACCTTATCAATGCTGACCCTTCCTTTCTCTGTCCACTACCCAACCTCCTAACTTTAACACTCTCTTGAATCTTATACAGATGCCTTCCTCTCTTCTCACCCTCCCATTTCTTCTACCACATTTGAATAAGCTTTTCCCATATCATACTCTTAACTTCCGCTTTACTTAACCTAACATTCAGCTCCACTGATTCCTTCCCTAATGCCTCCTTAGCCATCACGTCTGCCTTCTCATTTCCTTCCACCCCTATATGTGCTGGAACCCATAAAAAACTGATCTGGCCCCCCTGCTGTACTATTCTTGTCACTGACTGTAATATTTCACATAATAAACCCTGACGGCTGCTTGAATGGAACGATCTAATGCTAGCTAATACTGATGCTGAATCCGTGCATATAACTACCCTCTTTACTTTTTCCACCCATTTCAGTGCAATCAACACCCCCAACATCTCCACTGTGTTTACCGCTAGACCGTATGATGTCCTTCTATTGATTTCAATTCCTCTCGATGGCACCACTACCCCTAATCCTGTCACCCCCGTCTCAGGTTGTTTTGCCCCATCTGTGTATACATGAACAAATCCGCTATATTCTTCCCTCAGGCGCTGATTAACTACGCTAATCAAGCCTACCTGTCCTCCCTCTTTCCTTTTCTTTCCCATTACACTCCAATCCACTGTTGGCCATACCATTCTCCATGGTGGCATTGCTGGATACACTACTGTTAGGTCTACCTCCATCTCCCCCACCCCAAGCTCTGCTGCTATTCTATTCCCCATCCTACCAAAATGCTCCCTCCTACCTTTCCCCTCCTCCCAACACTCCTCTATCACTCCTTTTGTGGGGTGGGTACCACTGCTGCCCTTTAAACTAATCCAGTAGTTTGCTATGAGATGTTTGCGCCTCAGGCATAGCGGCATCTCACCCAACTCCACCTGTACTGCAGGTACTGGTGACGTCCAGAAGGCCCCACTACAGATCCTTAATGCACTTGTCTGGATCGTATCTAACTTTCCTAGAAGGGACTTTGCTGCTGATCCATATACTATACACCCATAATCTATAACTGACCTAATCATAGCTACATATACTGTTTTTAATGCATCACAGCTCGCCCCCCATTCTCTGCCTGCAAGACACCTCATCACATTCAACACTTTCCTGCACTTACCCTCTACCCGCTTGATATGATCCACCCAGATTAACCTCTTATCAAATACCACCCCCAAATACTTAAATGCCTCAACCCTCTCCAGCTGCCTACCATACATACTCAATGACACATCTACTCCCACCCTCTTCCCGGTAAAAATTATAGTTTGAGTCTTCTCTACTGAAAACCTACACCCCCAATCTAATCCCCACTCTGTCACCCCATCAATCGCCGTCTGCACCTTAGTGACTATATGTTTGGTGTTCCTCCCTCTCTTCCACAGTGCTCCGTCATCTGCGAACAGTGAGCTTCCTATATCTGCTGGTACCTCTGAAAAAACATCATTAATCATGATAAGAAACAATAGTGGGCTAACTACGCTCCCCTGGGGAGTGCCGTTACTTACTTCATACTTACAAGATATCTCTGACCCTATTCTAACTTGAATCTTCCTATCATTCAAAAAGTCCTTTACCCAATTAAAAACTCTGCCCCCAATCCCCATCCCCTGCTACTTAATCAGTAATCCTTCCTTCCACATCATGTCATATGCCTTCTCTATGTCAAAAAACACTACCACTACAGATTCCTTATTCGCTTGCGCCTTCCTCACCTCACTTTCTAGTCTCACCACTGCGTCCATTGTGTTCCTACCTTTTCTAAATCCGCTTTGGCATCTCGCCAGCATACCTCTCTTTTCAAGCACATATGTCAACCTCTCTGTTACCATTCTCTCCATAATTTTACAAATGTTCGAAGTCAAAGCTATTGGCCTGTAGCTAGAAGGAGAGCATGGGTCCTTACCTGGCTTCCTGATCGGTACTACCTCTGCTTCCTTCCATACACTCGGTAGCCTTCCCTCCTCCCATACCTTATTATACAATTCTAACATCCTGTTCATCCCCTTTTCCCCTAAATTTTTCAGCATTACATAGCTTACCTGATCTCCCCCTGGAGCTGTAGGCTTTGCCTTCCTAACCGCTCTCACAAGCTCTGCCATAGTAAATCTGGTGTCTATCTCCCCCCCTGAATCCGTCCTCCTGTCTAGAGCACCTGGATATCTGCTCTGAGTCATCTCTGTTCTCCTCTTCCCCTCTATTGTCAGATTGTCTACACTATGCACCTTTGCAAATGCCCTGGCTATCATCTCAGCCTTTTCCTTATCATTTACTGCTGTACCTCCTTCCTCTGTAATCACAGGATATTCCCACTCCCTCCTGTCCCCTCCCATCTTCCTTATCATACCCCATACTTCTCCTACTGGTGTTGTTCTCCCTATACCATTACAAAACTGTCTCCAACTCTCCCTCTTTGTGCATTTAACTACTCTCCTCACCAATGCTTGTGCTCTCTGATATTCTAACAGACTTGCCATAGTATGATTTTGTTTAATCTTTCTGAATGCTTTATTTCGGGCTTTCACTGCCTTGCTACACTCCTCTGACCACCATAGAACTAACTTCCTGGTCCTCCCATTTCTGCTCCTCGGAATAGCTTGGGTTGCTGCTGTGATTATTGCTGTTGTAACACTATTGTTGACTTCTTCCACATCCCTGTTCGTATCAGCTACCTCCAGTAGACCCTCACTCACCTCCCTAAATTTATTCCACTCTGCTTTACTGTACACCCACTTCCGGAGCCCCCTACCCGCCCCCACCTCCACTCTTCCCCCTACTGTACACATGATTAAATAATGATCACTACCTAGCGACTTTCCTGACAACACTTCCCATTTACTGACTCCTGCCAAACTTGCTGATACCAATGTAATATCTATAGCTGACTCATTTCCTGTTCTGACATCTATTCTAGTCCCTCTCCCATCATTTAAACATACTAATTCCCTCTCCTCCATTAGCTCCTCAACTACCCTACCATCTACATCTGTGTGTTTCCCACCCCACAAAGTGTTATGTGCATTAAAGTCTGCGCACCAGATAACCTTTCGTCTATCAACCCCTTTTATCCTAACTAACCTATCCAATATTAACCTCCCCCCTGGATTATAGTAGTTAACTATAACCACCGCATCCCCTCCCTCCCACAACTCTACCACTATATATTCCTGCTCTTCCCCACTTTCTATCAACCTATAAGAAATACCCTGCCTAATAAATATTGCGCACCCTCCCCTTGCTTCTTCTTCACTCCTATCCATCCTGACTGTCATATACCCACTAACCTTAAAATCTAAGCTAGGTTTCAAAAAAGTTTCCTGAACACACACTACGTCTGGCTGTATCTTCATCTTCCTTATATAGTGTTTCATCTCCTGTCCATTAGCCATCAGGCTCCTAGCATTCCACTGCAGCACCCAAACCATGAGCATGAGGTGACTTTCCTACCTCCTGGCTTCGACTCTGGTTCTTAATCTCCGCCTCTATCTCCTCCCACTTTAGACCTTCCATCCCCAGATGATCAGCTGCTGCCTTCACAATATATTGTACAGTATATTGGTGGTCTTAGATGTAGACTTGCTTGTTGAGTTGATAGCTGCCACAATAAATACTATTAACTGCCTTTTGTCTATCCCTATCCTATCCTGATCTGACTGCTCTCTCCCCAACCCCCAAGTCCCCTTTCTTCCACCACCCCCTGTCTCCTCTACTCCCTGTGTCCTTTCCTCCCTCTGTCTTACCATCTTTGCTGCCTCTGCATAACTTAACTTATCTAGCACCCTGATTTTCTGAACTTCTGCCTCCCTCTTCATAACTGGACAACCCCCAAACGTGACACTATGTTTCCCCCCCACAGCTACAGCATCTTGGCTTGGTACCCTCCCCACATTTCCCATACTCATGGTCCCCAGTGCACCTCGCACATCTCCTGTTCTCCTTACAATATCTTGCAATGTGGCCAAATGACTGACACTTGTAACACCTCATCGGCTTCGGTATAAATGCCCTCACAAAATAGCTAATGTACTCTAGGTACACTTTATCTGGGATTACCTCTCCTTCAAATTCTACAAACACTGTCTCAGTTGTCTTCTTTTCTGGACCCCTTGTCATTCTTTTAACATTGACAATTCCCATGCCCCTAGCACATAGCTTCTCCTTCAACTCCTCATCCCCTACCTCCATAGGAATCCCAGTAATCACTCCCTTACATCTTCTCCCCTGCACTCCAACCCGCACAACCCTCACCACTCTACTCTCACCCACCTTAGTTAACTTCCTCACCAAGGCTTCCTGGACATCAGTTGAACATTCCGCAAGCAAATTGCCATCTCCCAAAACCCTCGCATACTTCAGCTCTCCGCACTTCCCTGTCAGTTCCCTTGTCAGCTTAAACGAATTCATTTTCCCTTTCCCACCTCCCTCAGCAAACCGTATAACCAACCTAGTTCCTTCCTCCCTGCTCTCTCCCTCAGAACTAAAATTCTCCATGTCTTCTTCGTTCGATGAATTTTGACTGTTCGTTCTTGGTCTCTTTCCTTCTCTCCCCTGTCCCCCATCCCCTTTCCCTACACTTCCATCCTCCCACCCAGCCCTAGACCCCCTCCTACCCCTACCTTTCATCCCTATCCGCTAAGGTTATAGAAAAGAAAGAAATAAAGAAAGAAAGAAACAAAGAAAGCAAGGTAACGGGCACCGGTCCGGAACCTATACAGGCCGTCGGTCGATACCCGTCCCCGGAAACCCTAACGTTATTTAATCTGACTGATTATCTAATTCACCCAGCTAAATCTCAGACGTAACTTTGCCTTATCCTCCGAAGTACATTCATACACTCCAGTCACTTCAACTCTCGCGCCCACACCGAACCACAATGACGATCACTTCCGCCTCCCCGACACTTCTGCTCTGAACCTTTCAGAATAAAAGCATTTTCTCCAAAGTACGATAAAACAATTTTAGGTAAGTTTTAAAAGTTTTACTGACTACTCACGTGTGATAAATCTTTTGCATTCTTTCTATATCAAATCCAGGGACCATTAGCTGTGGTCTAACAACAGTACTGTAGGCCTATGTACGATAAGATAAAAGACTACTTCTTAATATTTCATGATTAGTTAGCAGCCAAAAAAGAGACATTCCACCGTAGACTCAGTAGGTGGCGGTAATGCTCCAGACACTAAGGAGTAAACTGCCATTAAACCAAACAGAAGAAGAAGAAAAAAGAGACACCCATCAACCAATACCTCATTGTTTACAGTTCCACTAAAGGAACAGTGTTTGGAGTTGTCAGCGATATTGTAGTGGTATTGTAGGTCTAAACACTCCCTTACTCACCCATCCTGTCAATGAAGCCACAGTGGCCTTCAAGGACAAGAACCCTCTGAGATGTACAGGTGTGATCCTCAACATGTAAAGTTTAACCATTAAAACATTTTAAAATAAGTCTTCTGTGCATTACAGCAACCACTCTCTTCTTTATCATCTGCCAAATACCCCCTCATCGAATACAAATTCTCAGATGTTACTAGTGTGTCCAGTCTGTGCTGTTGTAGAAACATGGCATGCTGGCGCAAGAGAGCAGCCTTTGGGTAAGTGGATCTCCTCTTATTTTGTTATACAAAGCTCATCAAGTTAACAAAAACAAAGTTGTTTTTATGTACAGGTGATTTTACACTAATTTACAGATGATACATTTCACCAGTGTTGTGCATTAACATTCCAAAATGAACAAGTTCTTTGAATTTACTTCAATTTTGCCAAATGATGGACAGAACTGCTCTGTCTGTATAAGATTTCTGTCGGATACATCAAATGGAACACCAGTTGAGTCAGGTCTCTGACTAGGAACTTGGAGTACCTTCAGAGCTCTAAACTTAAATCAAATAACCATCAACAGTAAAACAGAAGTATCTTTAATAGTGTTTCTTGCTATTTGGTCTCCTTTTGATCGTGTTTTATCTGTAGATATCATCACCCCCATCCTGGCATCCTTACACTGGCTCCCTGTTCAGTACATAATTCATTTTAAGCTTTTAGTATTTGTTTTTAAGGGCCTGAACAACCTTGCTCCACCCTATATTTTGGAGATGCTCCAGCCTTATTGCCCACCCCGACCCCTAAGATCAGCTGATCAGCTTTTACTGACGGTCCCCAGTACTAGGCTGAAGCTCAGAGGGGACAGAGCGTTTGCTGCTGCTGCCCCTAAGCTCTGTAATGAGTTGCCCTTGAAAATTAGACAGGCCTCCTCATTTCCTGTTTTTAAATCCCTTTTAAAAACGCACTTTTACTCATTGGCTTTTAGTACATTGTAGTGTTAATTTGTTTTTTATCATTTTAGCACTTGCTGTGAGCCTCCTTATTTATACACTTATTTATTCTTTTGCATTACTGTATTTCTGCTTGCGTTATCTTGTTTTTTGATTGTTTTATTTGTTTTTATGTCACTGTACAGCACTTTGGCTACCCTTGTGGTTATTTTAAATGTGCTATACAAATAAAGTTGATTGATTGATTGATTGATAGACATGTTGTGGTGCTATCAGAGGCAAACTTTCATGTAGTGTGTTGTTATTCCGCAGTATCAGCCCAATGTTAGCTAGCTATGCTGACAAGACCAAAAGCTAACATTACAGCTTGTATCTGGACAGAGGTCAACTTGAATGTGACAGTATAGCACCCAGCAAATCTCTTGTTGTTAGAAAATCTCATGAAGCAGCTTTTGTGAACATTTGAAGGATCGTCATGGAAAAATCCAGTTGAATTTTAAGGAGCCAAAAACTTAGCAAGTAGCATGTAGAGGGGAAGAGTAACTCCCTCACTGTCTGCCTTTGTCCATTCTTTTTTTTTTAACCTTAGCTCCCTTAATTTCATGATGTTTATGCTGTAAAAGTTGGGGCTTTGGCCAAAAATTCAGCCAACAACTCAGAGTAACATATTTGTTACTTAAAGCTGTTGTATCTTGGTTTATTTTGTAAAACATACTCAAATGGGATTTTTCTCAGCTTTTAAACTTAGTAGCTATGATTTTATGGTAAAATTCAGTAATTTTTGAGTCTGATTCTGCAGAGGAGTAAAAAGTTAAAACAGAAACTACGATGAGGCTAGGGCTGAGCAATATGGAAAAAAGTTTATCATTACATATTTTTTCATATCAGCCGATATCGATATATATATCACGATATGAAAAGTGAAATTTAGCTGTGCTTATTGGTTGCATATCTTAAACAATACAATAAGCTACTGCATCTGAGAGGTCTTTGTGTCTCTTCGACGCTTTGTCGTGAGGCGTTGCGCAAGAGAAAGTGGACTGAACAGTTGGCTGTTTCGGCTGCACAGGCGCCATGGGCTCCTTGCCCTGCTTGGGGTTTGTAAACTTTTGCATTGCGTGTGCTCTGCCACGTGGCACTGCTTCAGGTAGTGAAAAAGATTTGAGGTATTCCCCGACTTTGTGAGAACATGTACTCGACATAATTTGTAGTGCACATTACTCTAGCCTGGCTGGGCAATCCTGTTGCATGAATCACTTGATGTTCCTTCCCACCACAGTCTGGACTTCGGCCCATAGAGAGCGTGTATTCCCGATCAGAAAATAACCGGGCCAATCAGAGACCGTGTTTCCACTGTTACCCGGACAACAGGGAAAGGCAGCCCCTGATTGGTCCATGTGTAGTGGTGACGTCTAACACATGCTGCAGGACTTTTCAAAGCCCCGCTCATTCAGAATGCCGTTAATTCTGCAGTTGACTCTGCAAAGTCGGCAGAAATCGTTTATATCCGCAGAGGACGTCGGATATATACGATTTCTGCCGACCGAGTCAGTCATCGGTCCTGGTCTTTCAGTCAGCGCAGTACTGCTGCTGCTTCTCTAAGCCCCACCCACCCACAGAGCGAGGCGCAACGATAGGATAAGACAGGCAATCACAGAGATAGTCCCGCTCTAAGGAATGGTGAACTGACTCTTCAGCCAATCAAAAGAACTGAACGGACTAAACGGATCATTTGGGGGGGGTGACCTCGTTCATTTTGTTCACCAAAAAGAACTAGTTCTTTTGATCTGTTCGTTCATGACCGACACACCACTACTGTGACTAAAAACTCTAAACACTTGTCTTTAGATGTGAGCCGGTGTGAGCTGATATTTTTCCAGGAGTCTTTTCTAAATCTTCATAAAGTCCTCTGGTGGATAGCTGGCCTTTGCAGTCGAGAAGTCGCAAGAAGAATCACTGGGATCATGAGTGCCCCCTGCCACGAGGCAGAAGAACTGCATGCCTCACTTAGTGTCTTTTTGCAGCCGTGTAATGATTGCTCAGCATAAGAGACACATTACACACATATGATTGTTGACAAAAAAAAAATACTGTATGCTGTATATCAGCTAAACTGTGGAGATTTAGTTCATATAGCAAAATGTTTAACATTTTAATAAGGACATGTAGAGACATAGCAATACAGTCTCACTGCATTGTATGCCAGTACAGTTAGCTCAGTCATTGCGCAATTCATGGTCAGGCTCATCTGGCTGCTGCCTCACTGCACATCTCTTCTCAGTTTTTTAACAGTAAATGTGAAAACTCAGTGATTTTCAATAAAAAATAATCTAAAACTGGTGAAGTTAAATGAAAAATACCTTTATGGTGCAAATTACTGGATAAATATAATAATTTAATAAAAAAATTTTCATTTGACATTTTTTTCTTTCCACGATGACAGTAGTGTTGTGTCTTTCATGAATGTTTTGTTCAAAAGAACGGAACTGCTGAGTGAACAACGTGAATTGAATCACTCCAAGACCTGATTCGTTCCTTTTTCAGTTCAGTTGAGCTCAGCCGCAAGCCTAGCATGCCGGTCGGGAGTGGAACTGCCGCCTTCGACTCTTTGGCGAACGACACACAGCCAGCAAGTGAGCGGGCAGAGTCTCGTGATTCACTCACAGCGAATGAACAAGATGTATCAGTCAGTGAATGAAACATCTGTGAACAACATGCATCAGTACGTGAACAGAAGGATTCAGTCAGTCTGTGAACGACATAGTGAACGAAACAAACGACTTCCGAATGACTTGATGCAGGCAGAGGAGGGAGGGGGTGTAGTGTTGTTCACTTACTGCCTTTACATTCATACACGTGTAAAAATTTTCCTGCAAGAAGGATTTAATTTCAGCCGATTCAAAGCAATACACTATTTGATATCATTAAAGTAGCCGAATCCCTGCTACAGCTGCGATGTTTATTTATTTTTAATCTCTCTACTTTGCCACGATATAAAAGAACAACGGCTCGTGCTTGTTTAGCGGGTGTGCTGCTTGCTGCTGTGTTGTTTTCGCCATCAGCGACACACAGAGAGCTGAGTTTTTCAGGGCAGGTGAGTTTTTCTGGTCTAGATCGTTCAATGAACGAACTAGCAGCTGTGTCACTCACTCGTGTACTGCACTGGCAGGACGGGGCTCCAAAGCACTGACTGATTCAGTAAACAAATCTTTTGAATGAATCGTTTTAATGATCCTAAAGATTCAGTACAGTCAAAAGAACTGTTCTTCCCATCACTTGATGACAGGCAAGGCACGGCCTCTCCTGCCTCCCCTAACCACACTGCTTGTTTCATAGCTGAGCAGTACCTTGAGG